CTTAGCCGGGGAACTCTTCCTTTTCTTCGTACTACTTGTACTGTTTGTGATTGGAGTCTGTTGAACTGCGTTGTCCGTCATACCGTCTATCTCTTGCATAAATGATTGAATGTATTCGTCAATGCTGCAAGAGGGATTCATACTCACACTGTTCGGCTGCTACACTGTGACTGACGTGATATGCAATGAGTTATGGTTGAGGTGAGCAAGCCACTGCAGGTGTGCCAACAGAATATTTTAATAATTTTTCAAAACATGACTCGTGGTTTAAATTTTGACACTCTCTTATATGTTGTAACCTTAGCAGAATAGGTTTACGTAATAATGTTTCTATCTGTTTTATTCTTAGTTTAAAACGAATACTATCTAAATGTGAGTAGCATCTTCTGTCTTCATAGTCCGCAAAGTAAAATATAGTAACTATTGGACTTGAAAAAAATACACTTTTCTTATAATTTTTCGTCATATGTACGCTATTTTTGTCATTGGTTGATATTAAAGTTTTCCTCGTAGAATGTGACTCTTGCACGTACTATCGCACTTTTAATAAAAAGATTCCAACGTAGATCATTATTGATTCGTTTAGCTTTTTGTAATTTACTCATAGATATATTTATTACCACTCTTGCACTTCCATACATAATTATGTGTGTGTGAAAAATATCACTAGGGGGGGGGGGATATTGCATATTGCAGCACTACTCCCACTACTTTCTCAGTTGGAAAGAGTGGGGGGCTCATAGTGGTCTTACAGACACGGTCATTCGACATTCCGTCATCAGGCTAGTAACATGTCTCACTTCCCTAGTGACATATCTGACGAACAGTTAGTTTCTGCTTGTAAGGCCGCAGAAGAAAAATTTACCACGGAGGAATATAAACATTTGGATGACGAGTCGTTGGAATGGACCATACGATGGTCAAACACTTCGAGTCAACCTAGAGATGAGGGTGAAGCTCAGCAACTGGAGATCATCAAGCAAAATCTTCGATATATGAGTGCTGAGCTAGAGCGCAGAAGAAAGCTGGAGCGTGAAGAAAACCGCATGATAATGAAGATGACAGATGAAGAGTTTCTGAGATGGTTGAATAGATAGTTAGTTTAAGATTTTGTAATAAAATATTAAATAAATAGTAATAAAAAAAATATATTAAATAAATAGTAATAAAAAAAATATATTAAATAAATAGTAATAAAAAAAAAAACAAACAAAAACAAACAAACATACAAAATAAACTGTTGGTCCACAATCCACAGTGATGCGGAAATAATCTCTCACTAGGAGAGAAGTGGTGTCCCATCGTCCTTCCCTCACCACCTGTTTCAACAGATTAACGATGTCTAGACAGGGTGATTAATGTGTGTGTGGGAAGGAACGATGGGGACACCCCTTCTCTCCTTGTGGTGACTGCCACTATTGCATCACTGTCTTAGCTATGCCAAGACTGTATGGAATAGTTCTAATTATTAGTTTGTTTGTTGTTTTTTGTTGTTTTTTTTTTGTTGTTTTTTTATTTATATATATTTTTTATTATTATTAATTTACAAAACTTAATTCTACTTTAATTACTACTTAAATCTACTCCTCCGTGTCTTCTCTCCGCTGTATAGATGCGATTATTTCTTCCACCATGGGGATAAGGGTTAGTAGGTTACTCAACCTAGCCTCCTCCTCGTCATCCCTAGGTTGAGCTAACCATCCTTCATTTAGTTCGGTTGTTGCCTCCAAATGTATTTGGAGCAACTCCTCCATCGACAGCACATTGATGACGTACTGTTGGTCTTCCCCCTCCTCCTGCTCGATGTTATTATCCTCCAATTCAATCCTCGCTTCGATGACGTCAGCACTCGCGATAACCTCATCATCCGTGATGGATAAATTACGCTCGCCATGCGTCTGCTGAGTCGCCGCGGTCTTCAATTCGGCGTGGTGTCTTGCCACTGCTTCATCAGCGGCAGCGATGAGTTCTTCGTCGGAGAACATGTTGTCTGTGAATGCTTGTAGTGTGGAAGCGCCGTAGCTACTCCCCTACACCAGCGCTCCAAGCGGCAGTGTTATGACACACACTCGCACACACACACACACACACACACACACACACACACACACACACACACACACACACACACACACACATACACAGGGAAGGGGAGGAATATCCTCCCCCAGTTAGTTCCTCCCTCATGTGTCAACAGATTGATGAAGTCTAGACATGGGATTAGTGTGTGTGGGAAGTATCATCACAATGATTTCTCACGATGTAAAGAATAATTACACTTAAAAAATTAAGGAAGGGGGAGAAGTACCCTCTGCCACGTACAACATGTGTATTAATTAGTAATTACACATTGTCGAATAAAAAAAAAAAAACTAATTGTAATTACTCATTACAAAAGAAAAAATTGTAAATACTTATAACAAAAAAAAACTAATTGTAATTACTGTACTCATTACAAAAGAACAAATTGTAAATACTTATTAAAAAAAAAAAACTAATTGTAATTACTCATTACTGATAAAAAGCTAATTGTAAATACTCATTTAAAAAACTAATTGTAAATACTCATTACAAAAACAAAAAAAAACTCATTGCACGAAAAAAAAACGCATTACACAAAAAAAAAACTCATTACAAAAAAAAAACTCATTACATAAAAAAAAAACTAATTGTAATTACTCATTGTAATTGCTAATTACCGGAGCGGATCCGGCCCCCACAGTAGTGCGTAATTACCTCTACTACTGTATTCTTCGTAGAAAAAAAGAGAGATTATATTTAAGAACTCATTTGGTTAAGATTTGTATGCACTTTGTTGACACGAAATGTTTATAATATCGTTTAAACATCTTTACTGCAAATATTTGTTTTTTTAATTCAAACTCTGGTCAAACACTCACAATTACACATACCCCTAAATTAAGTCAAAAGCTTACACCGGACTTCTACTTTAACATACAAACCGTTTGTAAAAAGCAAAGTCAATCTAACTTTTATAGATAAATCTGATTGGAAACTTAGTTTGAACGGAAGGTTTTGTTATTAGGTTGGCGCTTTGCGTGTCTTTTGTAGTTTAAAACGCCAAGTTCAATCAAAGCAGCAGTGATCAGTGGTTATTGACGATCAGCCAGATCAGCTGACCTGTTTAGAGGGATTGAGGCTGCCCTCATTTCGCTTTTCAACTTTGACACTAAGCAGGTTTATGCATGTATCAGCGCCTGCCCTAATATGAAAGTCATGTCTCTTTCGCGTTATTGTGATATTGAGAATCAGGGTCGCTTCTGATAAAAGGCTGCTTATATTTTCCATGTAGGATGAATTTGACGATTTAATACGTGAGGTGATATTATTTAGGAAGTTTAGTAACAATATACATTTTGGTTGTTCTATAGATACATTAGTAGAAAAAGCAAATTCATAAACGTAATATTTAGTTATCCGTACTGTTCCGCAACGGAGTTGCGTGATAAACAAATAAAAATGCCATTCAACGCTAAGAAAATATTGAAGCATGGTAGATTTAAAAGAAAACGTAGTTTACATAGTCCCCTAGAACAAAATAAAATCGCCCCTTTCTGTACAATATGCCTTTCTCTAAACAGTTGATTGGTTTTTTATTGAAACGGGTGAGGTAAAAGATAGTAGAAAACTAGCTGTTGGCCCGTCTTATGTACGGGAATCAAGTAGTCGAATAAAACTTAATATAATTCAGAACTGCTAGTTTACATCCATAAAGAAAAGTTCTGGCAGTTTTACGAATAGGGAAAATCGTATTGTAAACAAATATCAAGAGTGTTTCTTTCATCCGATTATAGGCGTATACGATATTCATTTTAGATCCGATAATTTTACAATAAAACAGCGATTGTATTGATTTGAAAAGCCTTCAGGTTATAAAAAATAACGTTGTGAATACAAATAAAACATAAATTGCCATCGTGAGCGTCACTGACGTACAAATACAAAGAAAAAATCTACAAAAAGTTATACTCGTTTCGGACTTATCGGGATATGAAACGGAAAACAACCAAACACTTCACAATTCTTCATAATGTACAGAAAACCATGTCATTTCTCTACATTTATCTATATACATAATATACATATTTAGCTGACGTCATATGTTGTGTAGTAAACCATACATCCCACCAAAAGATAGTGTGTTAGTCCTATAAAACATTCATAGGAGAAATATGCTTCAAATGTAAAAAAACATTTATTTTTATATTATTTCTATATATTTTCACAAGAAAATATATACTTTTCTTAACAATCGTCGCCACTATCGGCGGCTCCTGGTCGTGTAGAACCGCCCAGAGCCGCGTCTCTAGTCCTCCGCCCACAATAATTACAGGAAGTCTCATTAGACAACACCATTACACAAAGATAAAGCCCGGATTGGCCAATTCACCCAGTTGACCTCTGACACGTGCTGTCGGGGTCAAAGATCAACAGTGACCAGTGGGCGAGTCACCTGTTCAGAATAACATGACCTAGATATAGAGGCAATGCAGACCCTGGACGGGAAATAGCTGGATTTGTCACAATAAATTAACTGATAACACGTTGAAATAATTATACTATAATATATTTTCGCGTTTTATTGGTATTTAATTTTATTATTAGATAGTGGTTGATAGATAAAAAAAATCTCGTAGACAATAAGTTACGAGACATGACTTAATTCCTGGCGTTCCAATTGGAACATAGGGCATGCAGTCCTGTCTTTCTAAGGCTCAAGTCTTCTAAGCTCCCTCCAGGGGTTACCCTCAACGGCTGCCTCCTTCTCTACTGTCCTCCTCCAAGTGTTTCTTGGCCGAAGTTTACGCCTTGCTCCTTGAGGATTATCATAAGGGCTTTCTTTTCTATGGAACCACCTGGCTTTCTTAGGTCTGAAAAAGTTGAGAGGGATATATTAAATTATATTTTATTAGCTAAGTTATTCGTCAGTTTAACCCAACCCTGATTGACATTAATCAGCTGATTTGTTTGTTTCACAGCTGATCGGAGTCATATGTCTCGCCCTGGCTACACCCGCAGTTCTCACCGGCACCTCGTGGTTCCTCTTCGTCGTGGTGCTCAGTTTCGTCGCCACCCTTGTCTGGATCGCCATCTACCTGATTGGAGTGCGGGAGGCGCTTAACCTACCGATCAACTGGATATTAACGGTAAATATAAAACATTATCACACACATATGTGTAAACCGCATTCCGTGTACATTTAAATTTCATTGCAATCAAATAATAGCCTTCATGGGAGGTGTTTAGGTTTCAAGAATTTCCTTAAATTTACAGTGGTACGCTTTTTTTGGAGTGGACGTTTTAATCTTAGCACAAACACAGGTTAACAGGTTAGTAGCACACTCAGGTTAAATGTTTAAACGAGCTCTCTCCACGCCATGAAAACAGTGTGGCCGTTATCACAGTATTTATACAGGGTGAATAAAAAGTCAAGACCCCCCTCCCTCTAGTATTTTTCCAAGTAAATACACAGAGATATCCTTTTGGTGATCGTCTAATCTTAGCAGTAAGTTTCATTTTATGATTTTGAAATTTTTGAGTGTCCCCCCAAAAGGGGGGATTTGGGGGGCAACTCAAATATTTTAAATGTAAACTCCCTTCAAGTGACACCTCATTTTGAACTGTTTCAAAAACTTAAAGAATGGTGAAAACTAGAGGTCGCTATCTCTTCTCTATCCAAAATGGTAGCCCGTCAAATGTTGTGGAAAATCAATGTTAAAATTGGTTCGTAATTGTAATTGTCAAAAATTTCAAAATCATAAAATGAAACTTGCTGCTAAGATTAAACGATCACCAAAAGGATATCTCTGTATATTTACTTGGAAAAATAGACCTATTAGAGGGGGGGGGGGTCTTGACTTTTTATTCACCCTGTATATCCCGATAGCTTGAATTTTATTCCTGAAATTCAATTTAGTCAACACTGAATACATGAATGTGCTGATTCCAAACTGTGGTGTATTCAATTCAATTCATCGATGTATACCGCGGGGGATATATGGAGGGTACAATTTCACGGAATCTTGTGGAGTTCGTTTCAAAATATAATTTTACTTAGTTGTATCCAAACTAATTTTGCAATTAGTTTTGACCAGAGAAAATTTGGTATTTGAAACCCCTATATTTCTGTTGGTACCCGACCAATTCCATTGGTTTTATGTGATGTGTTTGATTTACAGGAGCTGCTCAACACTAGTATGGTGACTGTGTTGTACCTGATCGCCGTCATTGTCCAACTGTCTGCCTGGTCCACGCCCTACGTCTCGTGGTACAGGGGCTCAAACATCGCAGCTGGGGTAAATACATCATCAGTATACCATACACATACTAAACACAGACTATATAGTACGCGTCCAAGTATTGCTTCCTGAAATCTCTCCGGAAAGATGCAAAATCGCAGGGAATAGTAAGAGGGGACCGAGCGTTGCTCGACGGTGTAGTCCTATAACAGTGACGTAGCCATAATTTCAAAATAGGGGGGGTCGACAGACCGGGGGTCCGGTAAAACGGAAATTTTAAAAAAAATATAGGCCCTAAAACGGTCTTTTTTAGCTCTTGGCATTTAAAATAATCAACTCCAAAGTCAATACAGTATGATTATATAATTTTACATTTAATAAAAAAAATATTATATTTAAGACCGGAAGGGGGGGTCCAGACCCCCAGGACCCCCCCCTGGCTACGTCACTGCCTATAATCAGTTTGTAATGATAAAAAATCAAACATGCAAATATATGATTTTTAACCAATTTTTTTCTTTACGAACGATAATATTATAGAATACGATCTAAAACATGTAATAAAACTAATTACATACAAGCATAAGCTACTATAATACTTGTATAATCTATTGCGGTAAAATACTCTACGTTTTGAACACTCGTAATTAATTCCCAATGGTAAAACACCTCAAGTGATTTACAAGTGATCAATGCTAAATGGTATTCATAGGATCGTCCTTTTCTTTTGTATTTAGTAATTTACTATTGTACTGTAAGATAATTTGTTATAAGCATAGAATACAATTCATTTATTTACATTTCCCCAAAAATGTCGTAATTTATTGGCTAAAACCAATGTTAAAAATTATTCAAATTTATCTTAAACTTTCCAACGAAGAAGGAATTTCCCCAGAACAGAGCCTAGCATGGATGTTGTTTTTAGCCCAAAAGATATGTCTAACAATTTAGAGGGAAAAGTTGGAGCCGTTTTTGAAATCATTGTGCGCAAACCTTACTCGTATTATAGTATAGATAGATGGATGAAAAAGTGGTCTATAATATTCTATAAGGGATTGTAAACCAATCCATCAAGCTCCAGTAAAACTGTGATGAATCACGATTCACAATTACCCAAATCCCTCCAAAGTTGGACTGCAAACTCGAATGTGCAAGTCCACAAAACACCTCCAACATAAACAAGCCACTACCAAATCGTACAAAATGCGTCCACAATTTCATCAAACATACCTAAAAATGCCAAATTATCCAGCTTATTTTATACCCAATGATGATCTCTTTACTGTTATAAGTCAGAAAACCATCTAGGGCCAATAACAAGTGTGCCAGATAGAACTGTTAACATTTCGCTTTTTCTCAACCAATTTCTAAAGCACAGAGACAATAATAAATTAAAAACTGATTAATCCCTATCGTAGTCTAGTGGTAGAGCGCGGGGCTTCGGTGCCCGAGGTCCCTGGTTCAGATCCCGCCAATCACCAATGGATTTTATCCATGTGATAATGCCACAACCCTCTATAACCCTCTATAGTAATATATAGTACTAGCCTGAAGTGAAGCAGTTCCGGGCTAGAACCTAGCTTCCTACGATGTGAAGGTGGGACATATTAATCATATAATAATGATGGTTTGGATTACCTAAGAAACGCTTCAATTTGGCCATTAGGTATTTATTGTTGGTCGAGAAAGAAAACTTCACGGTTAATTTTTGCCAACAAGTAAGTAGGAATCAACACGGTGACTTATTGAGTTGATGAAACTCGCTGTTTTGAAGGAGCGGTAAATATTTTATGACTGGCAGCGGCGTTCCACTTGTAGCGCCACCTGTTAGACACCTCTCGTCTGTATGGGGATATTTATATTATTTTTGTATTTAGAACATTATTTTCCATAAATTTGAAATAAAAAAGTTGAAAGCCTTGTCAAACTGCAATCCTTACTCATTTTACACGTGCGTTTGTAATAAATTTTTCTAGCGCCAAGAAATTACATACGTTCGATTCCCTTTGATATTAAGCCGTGTAATACATTTTACTATCAATTTCAAACAAGAAGTCAAAATATATAAACAAGTAAATTTCTATTGCGTCCGATATCAAAGTTCCGAGTTCAGTTTCCGACTCTTTCCGAACTCTTTGGAGGTAAATTGTATTACCAACAACCATCCCATTTGATTGTCACTGTCTATATTTGGGCCCGACCAACGTAAATGGTCGAAAACAACCTTTGTAACAGACTTGCAATAAACATTTACCATTGATCCTAGTAAATACCTAGGACTACCATTGAGCATGGTAAATGTTTATTGCAAATCTCCGAGGTATCGAAAAGTATTGGAAGATGCTGTTGATCTATTTGAAAAAAAATAAATACTATTAAGATTAGGTTTTTCTTAGACTGAAGTGTTGTTATTGTTCAATCTTATCATAACGAAAAAAATACTTTAAATACTGTTGAAGAGTAGGAGAATTTGCAGTCACAAATATCCCTATTTACTCCAAACAACATAGAAGCCCCAGAACTCGTAAATAGGGGTATTTGTGACAGCAAATTCTCCTATATTCTGCAATATAGTGCATCCGATCGACCTTATAATTCGTTTTTAGTTGAAATGTTCATAAATATTCTGTTTGATTATGTACTTGTTATAATGTGATAAAGTCATATTGAACTCACTTAATATTCTAGTGTTACAGATTGTAAATACATTTCTGTAATATAATAAACTAGTTGCTCTGCCCGTGCTTCGTCGCTACGGGGTGAGAATGCAGAAAAGAATAATTCGGTTTTACTTTAAGATACTATACTATAAGAAACAGTTACAACACACTTACCAGGAAACATATAGGCAAATGCTCAAGTGCTTATTGATTTTTTAAATGAAGATTTCTTAATGTATTACTATCACTTTATATAGTGTATTGCATTTTAAAATACATGCAAAAGTATAATAAAGTATAATAAGTATTTACATTACGATTAATAAGTATTATCGTTAATAGCAAAACGAAGTTAGTAAATTTCTTTATTGAGCGGAGTGAGCGAAGCGAGCGAAGCTCTTATACGTCGACTCTTATGCATTTCGTAATACGCAAACTCCTCCTAGACGGCTGAATCAATAGTTTTCAAATTTTGCATGGTGATAAAGACCATATCGGTGAGTGCCAACATCTATATGGCGTTAAAAATAACTCTCAGGAATACGCCCCTCTGGGTCTCAAAGTTTCAATGTAATCCTTATGGAATCAATATTTGACACATAAACAACGACATATGATCAGCTGTACTTTTGAATGCAGTAGATAAAGAAATAGCTGAAAGCATTATTCCACATATATTAGAACAGAAACGGTATGGATCATAAATTTAATCAAATGACGACACTAGCTTGAGGTTCGTGACGTATGAAGTGGTGAAGAAAGAAGTAAAGGCGAGCAGTCTAGAGTGTGGAAACTGTTTATGACTATTAGATTAAGGTATCTGCATTCCTAAAATTCTATGGGAAGGGAGGAAAACAGGTCCACGACGTAGGAAGTGGTGAAGGAAGTAGTAAAGGCGAGCAGTCTGGAGTGTGTAAACTGTTTATGGCGATTAGATTATGGTATCTGCATTCCTAAAAGTCTATGGGAAGGGAGGAAAACAGGTCCGCGACGTAGGAAGTGGTGAAGGAAGTAGTAAAGGTGAGCAGTCTGGAGTGTGGAAACTGTTTATGACGATTAGATTAAGGTATCTGCATTCCTAAAATTCTATGGGAAGGGAGGAAAACAGGTCCGCGACGTAGGAATTGGTGAAGGAAGTAGTAAAGGCGAGCAGTCTGGAGTGTGGAAACTGTTTATGACGATTAGATCAAGGTATCTGCATTCCTAAAATTCTATGGGAAGGGAGGAAAACAGGTCCGCGACGTAGGAAGTGGTGAAGGAAGTAGTAAAGGCGAGCATTCTGGAGTGTGGACACTGTTTATGACGATTAGATTAAGGTATCTGCATTCCTAAAATTCTATGGGAAGGGAGGAAAACAGGTCCGCGACGTAGAAAGTGGCAAAGGAAGTAGTAAAGGCAAGCAGTCCGGACTGTGGGAACTGTTTGTGACAATTAGATTAAGGTATCCGCAATCCTAAAATGCTTGGGAAGAAAGGAAAACAGGTCCGCGACGTAGGAAGTGGTGAAAAAAGTAGTCAAGGCAAGCTGTCCGGAGTGTGGGAACTGTTTATGACGATTAGATTAAGGTATCTGCAATCCTTAAATGCTACGGAAAGGGAGGGAAACAGGTCCGCGATGTAGGAAGTGGTGAAGGAAGTAGTAAGGTGAGCAATGTGGAGTATGGTAACTGGAAACCGTTTGTAGCAGTTTTATTGTATCTGCAATGCTGTAATACTATGAGAAGGAATAGAAGCATGCCCACGACATAGGAAATGGTGAAAGAAGTAGTAAAGTCTAGCAGTACGGAGTGTGGGAATGTTTGTGGCAATTAGAGTAACGTATCTAAAATACTAAAATGCTATGGAAAGTGATGAATACAGGTCCACGACGTAGGAAGTGGCTTAGGAAGTAGTAAAATATGAGCATCAGCATAGTGTGAGATCCGTCTGTAGCAGTTAGATTAATGTATCTTCAATACTAAAATGCTACGAGAAAGGAAGGAAACAGGTCTACGACGTAGTAAATGGTGAAGAAAGTAGTAAGGCTAGCAGTGCCGAGTGTGGGAACTGTCTTTGGCAAATACATTAATGTATCTGCAATCCTAAAATGCTATGGGAAGAGAGGGAAACAGGTCCACGACGTAGGGTGTGGTGAAGGAAGTAGTAAAGGTGAGCAGTGTTGAGTTTGGGAATGGATTAATGTACCTGCGATGCTAAAATGCTACGGGAAGAGACTGTAGACTGTATGTTAAAATGATTACGAAGCAGGAATCGATACATATTGAATTTTCGATACATGCAATTGTTTACAATCGAAATTTACAACTGAGTTGACAACAGCTGATTTTTACTCCATAGAGGCTAAAAAACCATTTTTACTCCCTAAATATTAAAAATGCTACTTTAGACCCGCAACGCATGCATTCAAAACTACTGTTTTTACTTTAGTATGACAAAAACAATATAATATGAACCCTTGATGACTCCGCTCAATTTTGTGGATGCCTCTGCAAACGCCACCTAGTAAGAAATACATCTTGATTTTGATGGCCTGTGGGGCAAAGCCCGAGGACTTTTATTACATAAATAGGTGAAAGGGGGTGTCTACACAAAAATACTAAATTTTGACACATATTTTGTAAAAATCCGCCCATTATTAACGGAGAAACATTCCGTCACACTCGTGTTTCGGAGAAATCGCCTTCACGTATTATAAGGATAAATTTGTGTAATACATGTTTTTTGTGACTGTTACAGGTGTTCGGACTAGTCAACACGGTGGTGTACGCGGCTGGCTGCTACCTCCTCTACACCGACTGGAAAGCGACTAGACCTCACCATTGAGACAATTTGTATCAACAGTCGCTTTGTTTGTCCAACGTTTATCAAATATTGTATGCAACTTTATGTCCGATCCTTTCTTTTTGATATATAAATGTAAAGGGAAATACATTATGTACCTTCCGTCCAACTATGTAGATTTAGTCTACGAGTAGAGAATCTGTTCGTTCAAACCTAGTACACTAAAAAAGACAATTTAAAATGTTTATAGTGATTTTGATTGAAGGTCGAAATTAATCTGGTTTAGTTACACGATTGTTAAATAAGATTGGACTCCGTGAGGACACCTTACCTCAAAAATAAAAAAATAACAGTACAATAAGTTGTAGATTTATTTTTATACATTTTGATTTATGTGTGATTCAAATCATTATGTGTCTAGTTTAGACTTCGAACAATAAATACGGGTTGTATATTGTACCAACTGAGTTCAAACAGTTTTTAAATCATCTTTTAAGTACCAAAACCCTAGAGCAGGTAGAAAATACTCTAAACTCGAAAGACACGTTGTTAAAAAGATACAGAAAGTTATTACTAATTTTTGATTAAATGTAAAATGATAAAGATTTATTCTCATTGCTAACATAAACCATAGACTAGATTTATCTATGCATAAACGTTCAAAATCCTTTATTTGTTTAACATCATACAAAGAATGGTTGTTCTACTTTTTAAATACAATAATTGAACGCAAATATTTCCTATGAAATTTAGCCACTTTGTAACAATATCTGACAAAATCAGATTAGAACATCAAAGGAACATCCTCAAACAGTAATGAGCCTTTTAAAATAACATTTGCCGTTTCCACCAGCGGGAATCGGAAAAGACAATCCTAAGCAATCCGCTTATAGCGGTTGGATTAGGTCCACGGTTTGTATTCTTGTACTAATGAAGCTAACAAAGTTTGTATATTGTTTCACCGTTGAAATGACTCCAAAGTATTAACGTATAATATGTACTGTTTTAACATATCTTAGAATAAATGTTTAGTTAAGAGTTTGTTATTAATATAACTGTAAATATATATTTATTTATTTTCAAGTTTTCTCATTCTGTAATCCTTATTCTCCAACATGACGTAATATTAGGAAGTCGTATATATTGGCTGTAAATAATCAAAATTATAGTTTAGTGTTGTAAAAAGCACCGATTTTTCAAAACGATCCCTTGCCAATATCGAAATGCCTGGTTGTAGCCTCGATGGTTGTACTAAACTGTAGCTTGAAATTCCAGCGAGTATCATTTTCTCAACTTATGCCTTCCATCACTGTCCAGTGTCCACGAACTGGGGAAACTTAGGATTTGTTTTGAAAAACTCAGCAAGTGGTCTGGTGCAGGCCTTCGGTCCCTCAGGTCCCGGGTTAAAATACTGCCAAACACAAATGGTTTTAGCGAAATTCCCACACAGGGAATAATTACCATAGAACTTGGAAAACCCTGGACCTGGGACCTCTGGAGTATCAACTACTTATATGAAAATTTCTTAAAATAAAATAAGTCCTATTCAAACTCAGATATTTTTCGAACGTGATTAACTTGATCTAAGTAAGCATTTGAACGTGTACTTTCAACTGAAATTTAATTTGCATATATTATTCACATACGAAATTAAAGCCTGACATTCCTGGGTAGATTGGGGTTTTGTTAAGTTTCTGTGATGTCGGTTGGTTTTAGGAATACAGTGCTAATTTGTCCTTTGAAACAAGGTATAGCCGTAAGATGAACTGTTTACATGTAGATACCGTGGCCTCTTGTTGTACCCAGTGAGGACCTCTGTTATGTAAAAACAAGTCAAAGAGTCATCGAGGGATTATTGAATGCACGTTTAATGAAACGCAACGCAGTACCATTACACTCAAAATGGGGAGGAGGATAGAAGGTTTCTCTTCAGAGGTGGCATGTTCAAACGATATAATTAAAACGTTAATAGCTTAACAGACCAATGTGTAAATATCTTTCAAATTGTAAATATCTTCCAGAAATATCTTTTGGGACCGAACAAGGTTTAGAATTTTATAAAGGTAACAGTTTCTTAACTCAAGATTTGTAATTTTTAATTGGTTTTATCAAAGTAAATTCATTTTAGAAGCATATGCCTCATATATAATTAAGACTTTATACATAGGACTATAGTATTTTATTAATTTTGGAATACAACCTACATGTATTAATTTTTTTAGCATGGCATGCCCATTAGCAAAAAACAAATAAGATCGTAACTAATAACTAATTATGATGGAAATGTCCGCAATAATTCCTCAAAAACCAACATTATGGCTATAGTAAATAAATTCCCGGCATACTATAATAAACCGTAAATTTAAAGAAGCAAATTTTATCAAACTGTGCTCATTGATTTCATGCCTCAACACCAACTTTTTCCTAAGGTACTCAGGTTTTCCAGTCTGAAGAACTTTGTGGACCAGATTTACAGTTTGTATGTCGAAGTACCCCATGATTGACAACACCTTGGCACTCAATCTGTACCCGCTAGTGTGATCAATTTTTTCAGATTGTAGACAAATCTAAGCACTCTGTTCTGCAGCCGGGTAAGGATCATCAAATTTTCCCGAGTAACAGGCAAAAGCAGGATGAGCATAGTATATGACAGGAAAAATGGTTGAACGGACAATTTCTAGCTTAGAAAGTTCTGGCGGAATTCAGCTTAGTCTGCGAAGAGTTTTCAAACGTACCACTTAAAAATACTACAGTACTATCACTGGTATCGTAAATAATCGTAACCCATTAGTTACGAAAAAATGTAGGCCTATAAATTACATACATTCGTTATATTCAATCATAGTCATACAACAACGTCGGATCATATTGTATTTTAACACATTGAATATGTACACTATTGAGTGCACCGTATTTATATCCGTACCTACTTAGTGTAGAAACGTTTTATACTATATTGTGTATAAGAAGGGTTCTCTTGAGTATCGTAACAAGAAAAGAAATGAATCTGAGGAAGTCGTTAAGTCTCATAACTTTTCGCACACTTCCTCGAGGGAAAACTCTTCATGACAATACCATGGTTATGACCACAAAAAATTGAGCTATATTACAAAAGGTCGTATAGGGAAGATTGACGTTTTATAACAGAAACCCAAATTATGTGTTAAGCATTCATGACATGATTAAATTAGTACTGCATAACACCTAGGCCTATTCACAACAAATTTTGTAAAGGTGGTTTATTAATCAAACCCACTATTAATTAATAGTTTTAAATTTTTGTTCATTTTTATTATGTGTGAAATCCGAACTAGTATTTCAGTTTAATATACGAGTATACGAGTTTAATATAGTAGTACTATATTGGCTACAATTTAGTATAGTAGGCAAGTCGTCTAAGGCAACTATTTCTTTGTATTGCATAAAACCACGTTTGGTGGTAAAATTCGTAGTTGATTACTGATTAAACGGTAAATAGATAATGACATAGGCAGGTTACGTATTTCACAATTGGTCAGCTGGAAAGCGAGCTAGTCTCTACCCGAACGGTATTCCACATCACTTCATGATAGGCCCAGAGGGGGTTGCAGCATTATCGTTTAGAATTAATCTGTCATTGACAGAATTCGAACCCGGTACCTCTGGGAACGAAGTCCCGCAGCTCTCCAATCAATCACAAATTAATATCATGCAATAATGTCACAGCCATCTAGCCTGAAATAATTTGTAAAAGGATAACGTCCTAGAAAATTAAGCAATGAAAATCCCTTGTCCGTGTTGCAGCCCCTCCTCGGATAGTTGTTATAGCAACACTCAAGGTTCCTCCTTTAAACTCCAATCACAGCACGACTGATTATGCAGGATTGCTATTTATATACCTCAGCTAGCGTGATGGGTAGGGTTGGAGGGTTGGAGGGTTGGAGGGTTGGCCCGGATGGCGTGTGGAAGGTAAGGGGTGTTGGTCGATAACAACCTCGCTACCAACGTTACACAGCCACTTCCCAACCCCCCAACATTATACGCATTGGCCATGTTGATGTTACATTTACTGGAGCAAACACGACAAAGTTATCATAAACCTGTTTGTTCTGAAAAATTGGATGGTTCAATTAGTTTCGATTAACAAGCAGCCATAAAATGATTTTTAAACAAATGTAGGATCCTTTACTGAATCTTTTAAAACCGATAAGGATGATAAAAACAATCTTTATGGTCGAAAATCAATGATTTTGTTTAATTAAGCAGTTAATACATTTAAACTGCTTCATCTAAAAAGCAATATTCAGTTAGGAAAGTGTTTTTGCCAGTAAGTCAGTCTAAAGATGCATTTAAAAAGTACAAAATTGTGAATAAACATGACAAGATTTAAATTTACATTAACTTATACGATTCATCATCATCTTCTCATGATCATATACAAAACGATATCCGTACATCACCGGCCTAAGTGGTAAGAAGTTTCTTTATTTCGTTTAAAAATTAATTTGACTTGTGAACAGTAATCCCCTTACGCTGGAACTGGAAGTGAGCTGAGCTGTTTGTTAGATCAACTAATCACAGTGCAAATCATGCTAATATAATGAAAAACTCACGAGTTGACAAAACGTTGGGGGGATTTCGAAACAACAGGGGAGAATAGTGAGGCTATGGAGGATAGTTCCTGCGATATATTATCGTTAGAAACATTAATAATATGTATGAATCGATGTGAATTCGGAGTTTGTGACATAGACATGTATATACATTTTAACGAATCGTTTTTTGATTATGACCTCTTGGGACATCAAAACGTAAATCGCTCCCGGGTCTACGTCTTACCATGCCACCTACGGTAAAAGCTTCTTCCTTATTAGGAAATTTAATAGCATCCTATTAAAATAGAAATAAGATTGTTTACGTTATTCAACATTATTTTAGGGTACTTAGAGGGATCTAAGTAAATAGTTAGTTTATTTACAGTAATAATATATATTCAAATAATCGCAATACATTTTCTTAGCTAACTTACCATGCTACACAAATAATACATTAAATACATAAGCTAGACTATCGTTACGCATCATACAATGTTAAAATATAATAAATTTACCTATTTATATTTTCGTCATGAGCAATGTTTAGAGTACAGAGCAGTGTCGAGATATTTCCGTACATTTTAGAGAATTATCACACAAAGTTAAATACTCATCAACACAAATTATACACTTATAACGCCAATAATAATAATTTTGCTGGATTATACAATTTATTTTCCAATGGTTTGTTTATCCCTTTTAAATTAATCGTAATTTGTAATTTTTCCACATTGACTTAAAACTTTACCTTAGACTAATTTAGCGATACACAGTATATTCAACTCAGCTATGTGTCTTTGAACACAAACTTCATCGGTTAGGGAAGGGAATAGGGAATAGCAGACACAAATTAAGCAACAATCAATACTTAAAAACACAGAATAACCACTACACAAAACAGCGTGTTATCGATTCTTGTTTCTGTCGACTTAATTAAAAACGACTGATTGTCGATTTTAAATAGGGCCATGTACAGTCATAACATGTTTTAACGATCATGATGCGAAGGGGCCGCATGGAAACGGACACAGTAAACGCATATACATAGGCCTAGCCTCCTCTAATACAAGGGCGCAGCGATGCGTGGCAACACCGCAACCCAGGCCTACCTTGTTATTAGCCTATAATGGCAATAGGCTGGTGCAACGTTGCCACACACCTACGCTGCGTTCTTGTAGAGCCTTTAGAGAAAGCTATGGCCTGATGGCCATATGCGAAGACTATGTAGAACAACAATAACAAGGACTACACAAAACAGCGTGTCATTCATTCTGTTGACTTAATTTAAAACAAATATTTTTTAAAAGAACATGGTCGCTTGGAAAGGAACACAGAAAACGCATATACATAGGCCTAGCCACCTCTAATACAAGGGCGCAGCGAGACGTGGCAACACCGCAACCCAGGCCAATCGAAACATCTGTTGCACATTCATAATGGAGTTTTTATCCACAGTGTTTATGTTTACACGTTTGTTATTATCCTATCATGGCAAAAGGCTGGTGCAACGTTGCCACATACCAACGCTGCGGCCTTATAGAGCCTGTAGAGAAAGCTATGGCCTGATGGCCATATGCGTAGACTATGTAAAACAACAATAACAAGGACTACACAAAACAGCGTGTCATTCATTCTTCTTTCTGTTGACTTAATTTAAAACAAATATTTTTTTAAAGAACATGGCCGCTTGGAAACGGACACAGAAAACGCATATACATAGGCCTAGCCACCTCTAATACAAGGGCGCAGCGAGGCGTGGCAACACCGCAACCCAGGCCTACCAAATGTGTATGTTTACAGGTTTGTTATTAGCCTATCATAGCAATAGGCCGGTGCAACGTTGCCACACACCTACGCTGCAGCCTTGTAGAGCCTTTAGAGAAAGCTATGACCTGATGGCCATATGCGTAGACTATGTAGAACAACAATAACAAGGACTACACAAAACAGCGTGTCATTCATTCTTCTTTCTGTTGACTTAATTTAAAACGACTGATTGTCGATTTAAAATAGGACTAGATACAGTCAAACATTTTTTTTCAAAAAACATGGCTTCTTGGAAACGGACACAGAAAACGCATATACATGTAGGCCTAGCCTCCTCTAATACAAGGGCACAGCGAGGCGTGGCAACACCGTATCCCAGGCCTATCGAATGTGTATGTTTACACGTTTGTTATTAGCCTATAATGGCAATAGGCCGGTGCAACGTTGCCACACACCAACGCTGCGGCCTTGTAGAGCCTTTAGAGAAAGCTATGGCCTGATGGCCATATGCGTAGACTATGTAGAACAACAATAACAAGGACAGCGTGTAATTCATTCTTATTTCTGTTGACTTAATTTAAATAGGACTAGATACAGTCAAACAACTATTTTTTAAAGAACATGGCCGTTTGGAAACGGACACAGAAAACGCATATACATAGCCTCCTCTTATACAAGGCCTTGGCGAGACGTGGCAACATCGCAACCTCGGCCTACCGAAACAGCTTTTACACTTTCATAATAGAGCTTTTTTCCACGTGTGTTTACACGTTGTTGTTACCATGGCAATAGATCGGCAGGTACGACGTTGCCATACACAAACGCTGAGGCCTTGTACGAGCCTTTAGAGAAGGCTATGGCCATATGCGTTGTCCATGTATAATCACAGACAAGCGAAAAGACTTTTGCACCCGATGCATAATTTTTATTTCAATTGGATCCGTCATATAGGGCGAATTGAGTCATTTGATTGGCCGATCCAACAATGACTGATGGCCGAAGTAGATATTCGATATTTTTAAATATCAATTATAAAATTAAACTGTTATAACCTAACCTAACTAACCAAACTTGCTGATAATGAAAACATCGAATGAAGATTTACTAATCGAATCGATATTTTCAATCAATATTAGGGTAGCCCAGTTAAGAAACTGAACCCAAAGTCATAACGTCACTGCTGGATCAGCCAATCAAAAGACTCCATTTTCCCTATATGCCGGAACTGAAATTGAAATAAAAATTATGCGTCCCCGAGTCAGTGGTAAAATACAAAGCTATATGAGACATATTGTAAATGACGGATGCTGAATCACTGTTCTCTATGTACGAGTGTTTCTACTCTATGGATGAAGTGAGTAAAGCTACAGTTTAGGCCTGACACTGCATTGGTATACTTCTTCTCACCAGCTGGTTCACTCATTCGCACTACCCCCACTCCCCCTACAATCACAACATCCCAACTGCTATTTCTCTTTCGTGTCCGTCTTAGAATCTGAAACAAGATATTCATAAATTATTGGGCCAAAAAACATTAGTTATAATAGCAGTAGTCTTTTTTTGGGTCTTTTCAAAGAGAGGGCCGCCACTTCTTTGTAGTGCGATGCGGCGGTTAGGTTAGGTTGGTTTGGTCATTATAACGGCAAAGTAACACACATACAAATTTCACCTTTGTAGAAACTCTTCATAAAAAAAGATCGCAAATTCAAATTGACGTATTTGTAAAGTGTTACCTTGTTTGGCATTATAACAAAGTAAACCAACCTAACCTAACCCGGTCTGGCCTAACATAAGGTAACTAACCCAACCCAACCATCACATTGTAAAATAGTGGTACCCTCTTTCAGAAAAGTCCCTTTCTTACTAAAGTGATAGTATTTTAACAAATTCAGACAAATAACTAAAAGATTTGTATTTTAAAACTTAATGTACATGGCAACACTTCACAACTATAATTACTAACTTAAAATTAATATTTTACAAAAGAAGAAACATTTTATTCGGTCTCACCTTTCTCCTTGTCCGATGACTTGCTGGGTTTCGGCTGTTTTACTTTCTCGGAGTGACTATGTTTCTCGGTGTGGGATTGTTTCTCATTATGACTGTGTTTTTCTGCATGACTGTGTTTCTCAGAGTGGCCATTTTTCTCGGTATGTCCGTGTTTCTCTGTATGACAATTTTTCTCGGTATGACCATGTTTCTCTGTATGATTGTGTTTTTCGGTATGGCCATGTTTCTCGGCATGGGTATGAAACTGAGAGTGATCCGCCTTTTCCGTGTCCGGACTATCCTTGCTCTCTGATCTGCCTGTTAAAAACAACAACCCTGTTAATATCACTAGTTTGTGAACAAGTCAAACAAGTAAAGCAACGTTTAACAAACTTGGTGAGTAAGGTTTTCTCGGTGGGTCTTATTTGATATCATTCCACGGTAAATTATGAAATTTAATTATTGACTGGGTCATTCTGCTATGTGTAGTATAGTATAGTATGCTAGTGTGAATGTGTAGTATCCACTATTCATTAAGTAGAGTATTCTAGAATCGGAAACCAGACTGCAAACAAGAAACCCTCCCATTCCCATCCCTATGGAACTTTCCGCATCAGACCGCAAATTGGAAGGCCCCAAAATCAAAATGTGTGCCTTCGAATTTCAAAGTTTTTTTTTGTGTTTGGCTCTATAGTGCGTCAAACAGCCGTGGCACCTGAGGGATTAGGAGGCCCCAAGGGTTTCCATGGGGTCTCCTAATCCGTCAGGTGCCACGGCTGTTTGAACGGAGTATAACAACTGTTGTGACATATACACATACACTATACCATAACATACTAAGTACCGGTATGCCAAATATTTTAGAGTAAGATTTCATATCCCAAAATTAAAACCTAATATGCAGATAATTTTATAATCACGACCTATATATAGTGTCAATTTATATCAGAACCACGATGTCGTACAAGTTTTGAAGTGTGCGTGGGGAAGGGTAGTATCTTTGACTAGTATTTAACCACCCTTTAAAAGTGGGTTGCGGAAATTGGGCCAACGAGTTGACGCGCCTTGTTGGTCGCAAACACACTAGTTAAAAAGTAATTTACACACACAAAAGTTACTCGCTTAGTCCACACAATTTAGCATCTCTTTGACCCAAATTGTTTAACAGTTTGACATCCATAACTTGCGACGGTCAACGACTAAAATTTGAATTCGCGTAAATCGTTAACGAGGATAAACAGTAAAATAGTTTCGAGTAAAAAGTAAATTAACAAACAATACCGTGTTTCATCAACTTGACGTTACATTAATGGTTGGAAAATACGTCACTTTGGGGCAGAAAAATATACACTAACCCCATTACAGAAAACTATCACAACCCCTTCAATCTCGATCACTCTATAAATTCGCTAAAATGGTACTATTTTAACCCTTTAGTTCATCCCTCAATTGTTTTTAATTAATTCAACTCTCAAGCCAGAGTTCTCGAGTTTCTAACTAGAGTTTTATACACAGGCAGGTAATCTTATAACCGAAAATGCAAATTCAATTTTCTACAAACACATAAACTTGTTTACTAATGACAATATTTTTTAACAAGTTAAACTATTTTTTCCAAACAACCACTGAAATAAGCTGTTAGGGAAGAGCGTAAGGAAAATTGAATATCAACAAGACATGCTAATTAGGGCGTGTACATATTTTAATGACCTAAATGTGTCACTCAACATGCGATTGTTAACACTCGTGAAAATTGCCTTTATGCAACGACGTTGAGTACGTCAAGAGACGGGCGACTTAATACTTGTTTACAAACTATTTACAGTACTGCGGTCATGAAAACTGGAACAATTTTACATGTATTGATTCTATCTATAAAACTACATCTTCGCACGTGGAATAACTTAAATAAATTTATATAAACTATTTTTAACACAATATATACGATGGATATATTATATTATATAGGTTAGTGCTCCAAAACCCGTTTTCTATCCTTACTAATGTAAAATAACAGCAGGTTAATCGATTATATGAATTTATTTGGAAAAAAACGTCTGAAAAATCAATTTAGAAAATAATTTTTATATTATTTTAAGAATATCTTTAAAACTAATGCATATACATAAGAAATGAATATAACCATTCTTGTAGATAATTTTATCATCTTTCTTTTTATAATTTACATTTTTTCCGTACGACGCATGGTTTTCAGTGTAGAAGTAAAAAACTAAAAAATGGGGTCTTTCCCCCCCTCCCTCCGCTGAAGCAGCAGGGCCAGGGGCGGGGACTTTTGGTATGTTTATCTTCTGACTACCCCGAACACATTCCCGCAGAAAAAAAATTTCCCCCTCTCCATGTCCTCTACAATACCTTTATTGACTGGACTAAATATATTATATAGAGATCTATGACTGCGTCTCGGCTCACGCATCACATACAGCGCGCGATCCATTGTGTTATAATCTTGATGATCGTGCCAAAGACAAAATGCCGTTGATTCACTAATAAGAAAGTACTTTTATAGGGTCAAAAGTGGTTGAACTACCAGCACGTGGCACGGGGATCGCATACACACTAGCACGTCAGAACGGCGTGCTTTGGCACGGCACGCCAAAAATCAAACTCGTTTTGATTTCCACCGTGCCATGCCAATGCACGCCGTGCTTGCACGGTGTTCACCACACACTTGCACGTTTCGTCAGTTTTTGGCACGACGTGCTTGCACGGCGTGCAATGCACGTGTAGTGTGTGGGCCGCTTAAGCGTGGGCGCATCACTCACAAAAATATACGATCACGTCACGTGCCTGGTATATTGGATATTAGTGCCTTAAGAGCAATGTTAAATTTGACAGAACATACCATCATTTGAAGCAGTATGCCGGTGTTATTTATAAAGATATAGTTTTGCAAATTTATAATTTTATGTTTATAACATAGAGTACTAGGGAATAAAGTAATGATATTTCAAATATTTCTTTGTTGTCTTTTCTTAATAAATACTATAATTAAATGCTTAATAAATGATCATTAACTTATAAAGTGGAGGGAAAATGGCAAAACTGAAATCTACACTCCCTAGAGGACCACTAAATCTAAATTTTAACACCTCAATCATTATTTAATCACAACAGTTTTTTTTAGAAGTTAACATTGCTCTTATGGGACTAAAATCCAGTATGGCTACCACTGATGAAGACTCTTAATACGTAAGAAATGAAGTGGGTTCAAATCCCACAAATTATTAATGGATTTAAGTGACAAACGCCGCAACCTCCCACAGCCTAACCAGTAATGTGTAAAACGGTTGCGAGCTAGAGAGCCGACGTCCGATGTGTGAAGGTGAAGATGGGACAACCATCACGTGACGAGGGATACTACTTACTCCTGGAGTTTTGGTGGAGCATCTTCTTGGTTCTGTCCTTCTGGTCGTGAGCCGCAGCCCGTGGGTCGTGACTGTGCAACTCCAAGGTGGGAAACACGGCTGCAACAACCACATCAACATCAACAACAGCAACGAGGTGTTTAGAAAATACCTAACTCGGTGTGACGATTAGGTCGTGCATTGATTGCGCCAAAGAGTTCCTTAATTGCGCCAAGCCCTCAAAGAGTTCCAACAAATTTCCCAAGCACCAAGCCCAAGCCAGGTAGGGGTGAGTTGCCGGCAGAAGGAATGTCCTTGTTAGCGAATTTTTTACGTGTCATCCTAACCTATTCTAACCTAACCTAACCAACCTACTCAATTATACAGTCAAAGAGAGCCGCCACTTGGCGCAGTTAATGAACGTCTAGGGTGGCTCCCTGACGTGTAGTTGGCGCAATTCAGGGATACCCGACTATCTGACTCAGGTCACCTGGCGCAATTAATGCCCGCCCAAAGATTGTCTTGCAGCTTATATCCGTTGTCCTCGTAGAAATATGCAGTGGTCTGAGAGTTTTAGGCTCTTCGGGAATTAACTTACCTGGCACATCAACTTGACCGCAAAGTATAATGTGCTTGCCTGGTAGTTAAAGGAGTAATAGTGCCTATCAAGTAGGTAATGTTAAATAGTGTAGTTAATTAATTTTAAAATAAGTTAGGATATTTTAATAAACCGATTTTAAAAACAAAGTGCTACCAGGCTTGTATTTGCAAATGGTTTGGATGCTATGTTCTGTACGATCGAGTCGTTTTCATGTAATATTTCTTAAAAAGTCAAAGGCCACTTTGAAATTTTACATTTGACCAAGTTGAATGTTTTCTAAGATATGTGTCTTGAACCTTAACATATGCCAATTTTTGTGATAGCTTTTAAAGATCAAATGGAATCTTTCAAAGATATATTTATTTATACGAAATGGCGGATATTTGGTAAATGAAGTGTTTTTGACAACAAAAATCTATACTTGAGCTGCCTTCATTTTTACCTATTAAAATATTACACATAGCTTGGTAGATAACTTACTGGACACCCTGTGTAAAAGGGGATTGTTGTCTTTTTTCCGATAATTGATGAAAACCTAAAAAATCCTACTCTTACTCTTAATAATAGTGCAACTATGAGTATCACATTCTATTTTTGCATATTTAAATGTGTAAAAGGAAGAAAACGTATTTTACAACAGCCAATCTTGTGGACGGCTCAATCGTAGGAATTTGACCATTTCACAATGGATTCAACTTTAAAAGTGAGATTGCAATATCCACTTGTCGTAAAGTATCTATAATCAAAGAATATGTTTAATCCATAATTATGATCTTCAGTTGACCAACGTGGCTAATATAGGCTATAGCCAAACGGCTACTTATGAAAGATAACACAGTCAACGTCATAGAAGGGTCCCAAGTATAGTAATTAAATATATGTAGTAGTAATAGTAATAGTAGTATAGTAGTAGTAGTAATAAATTGCAGGTGATAGTAACCACCATCGTCCCTGGAAAGCTCTGTGTATTTTAAGCTAAATATAAGTGAAACATGAGTGTAGAAAAGACAAAACTATTGCATTAAATAGTTATTTGCGTTAAAAAGCGTTAAAAGAGTTTTTGCGTTAAATAGTAGTAAATCATTATTTCTACATACAAGAAGAAAATGTTTTCGTTATTTTTCCAAAACGATGAAAATGTGATAAGCCTGAGGATACAGAGAAAGCCAAGTACCCACTTGTTCCAACTCATCTTGAGGAAACAGAAAAATAAAGACTGAGGAAAACTTCCTCCCTTCCCCTCCCAACACTAATGCTTGCCATTGACTTTGGATACTACAAAAGAATTTATGTGTTTTAAAATATGTTTTTTGGAATCGAACATAAGTCCGATAACGCATTAATGCGTTCATGTGGACGAATTGTCTAGTTTCGGTGCGAATTTTACAGTGAGCTTTTGGAGTTTTCTCTGTTATAGGCGTACAACAACGCTTCTATGTACTAAAAAATTATTTGATTTATAAGCTCTGTAAAATCGTTTAGAATCTGATGTTCTTACATTGGAATTTCGTGCTAACTCACACACACTAGGCCGCTAAATATTATTTAATTAATTTATTATCATATTTGCAATATTATTATATTGTTTACAACAAAATTATATCTTTTAAAGATTTCAACTGATCTTTGAAAATGATGATTAAAATTGGCATGTTAATGTACAACACACATATAAATTAATGTATAAATTAATATATAATCAGTATTAAATATATGAATCTGGACGGATGGTTTTTTTGGCCTCTGGATACCAACATCAAAACAAAAAAAGTAAATTGGTTCCGGGCTCTAGGTTACCACGAGACGGTAATAGCTTATTGTATTCCGGATTCCCTCCCTATATGAAAAGTATTGGGGGACGTAGCTATTGTATTGAGTACATATGGGTATCAAGGGAGGAAAAACAAATAAAAACATGACCAGATGGAAAGAGATGAGTGTGGTATGTTATAGTTCGGCCGCTTAGAAAACGACCTGCGCGCTAATGCTAAACCAATGCTAGAGGAGGTCGCTTTCTAAGCGGCCGAACTATAGTTACTATGCTACTGATCAAATATGTAAGGTTTATTGGAATTTGGGATGTCCCATGGAGAAGAAACTCCATAAAATGGGCATTTATATTTGAAGCCCTCTAACACGACCGTTAATTTATTTATGTTTTGGAGATGTTAAATTAACCTATTAATCCTATGTAATTGTTAATCCTACATTGTGAAGAGGATTAAAACACATCGAATGCCTTATAAAGTACCATGATGTTTATTTAAGTATCAAATTTGCTGCTGTATTTGTTCAATAAATAAATAAATAAGTATAAAAGTTCCCCACTAGCTGTATTTTTTTTTTATTACACTGGCATCACAGATCGCAGCCAAACAGGTGTAATGAATTTATAAGTAAAGCAACCCCCTAAACATAGCACTGCCAACAGGTAAAATTGTATCGAGCATTGACTATATATACCTACAGTAGGTATATATAGTCAATGATTGTAGCCATCATATTTATTAGGGAACATAAGGATCGGTGAATTTAGCATATATTTTGAGGGAAAACACAAAATTTAATTGTAAAATGTAAAAGTCATGGCTCTCATTGTCTTTAAAATCTTATTATTGAGATAACAACTGCGTATGGCATTTACCTAGAATTAGTTGATCAAAATATTTCATGACATTGACTTTGGCTACGATTCAAAGTCTACACAATGGAAATGGTTTCATTAGAAACTGCACTGGATGTATTGTTGATTTTCAATTCCGTAGGAAAAACAGGATCGTGAAACGCTATCGTATTCACAAAAAATTATCATACACATAAATCTTTGAATATATATAACACAAAACCCATAATTTCCACAACGTCCTCTATACTGAACGTACTAAAACTACACGCATAATCTCAAATGGGTGATCCCAATTTAGTCTCTTTCCTGATTTGCATTAAACGGATATTTTTCATCTCTCAAATATCTGAATGCTTATGGCAAATCCATTGAAACTAACATGACACAGTGTTTAAGTATTTTTTGTTTTTTTTTTCACGAAAACGTTTAAATGAGGCAATTACGTATCAAGTTTCAGATTATGTCGATGTTGGACTCGTTATAGTAAACCCACCCGTGTTGTCAATACCAATAATGATCTTTCATTGAACATAGATGGTACACAGAATTCATGCTTATATACGGTACAAATTATAAAAACTCATTTGTGCAAACCAAGATCACCTCACAACAGGTAGTGTTGCACAGTGGGTGGTGTATTGTGGCAGATCACGGAGACATGGTTTGTCCCACCTCGATCCACAATGGCGCCGTTACCAAAGCAACACTTGAAATTAAATCAATATTTATTTTTAATTAACCCTTTAACACCCATTTTGTCCCTTTAGTACTGTAAAGAGTAATAAATTTTATTCCACCCGATTACTTCAATCTCCGATTTTATTAAATTATTGCGAAGTACTCGTTTCCGAAGTACGGTGTTTAATACAAATGCTGGAAAATTAAATACATTAATATACACATGTAACATGTATTTACCCTTTTTTCCTCCATTTGGCATGACATAGCTAGGCCGTGCCGTAGGAGTTGAAGTGCTCAGCCAGCAATAAATGATGGCGGATTTGGTCAACGATTTAGAGACCAACACGACCGACTGCAGCTGCAAGACTGGGCTTTTCACCCTCAAGCCAAGCGACTCCCAGCACGGTGGGGGTGGGATTACCCACCGGGAGGGGATTCAGGGAGAAATACCCTGTCGTCGGGAAAATTCAGCTCTCATTCTGCTGCGCAGTTACATTTCTGGGAACTGACGATGTGTTTAGTGATTTTCCCAACTTTTATTTTAGCTTCAAGCAACGTGTGGGTGGTAACAAAATGTTATTAGTGTGATGATGTTGTTCATTTATAGATTTGGCTGCGTCGATCACATCGTCAGATTAAATTCTCTCTCGCCCTCAACGTGGATTGGAAACTTAAGTGGATACCCCCTCAAGGTTGTATCTCCATGTCAAGAGCGATTTAAAGCGAATTAAATCTGACGACAATAAAAATATATGGATTCTGAAACCGGCCCCAAAAACCTACAGATATTGACATTGTACATAATACCAAAGATTACATAAAATGATGTAATCTTTGATAATACTATGTGTCCTTAAATACGTAGGGTCCTAAATAGTTTGCTACCGTAGCATGATTCCATTCTTCATAAGCTTCAGTTTAATATTATTATTGTTGATAATAAAGTATAATATAGTATCGCATTATTTAAAACAGTAAAATAATGTTTTCATACCACTACGTGTACACACATTACCACATCTGTTAACAGTACCTACGCAAAATAGCTCATTGCCGCTCTAGAGCGGGAATGGATTATTCCCGATCGCTAAATCAGCTGATGACTCAGCTAAAGCTTCGTGCGACAATCTACAGTTCTCGAGCGCAATGACATACTTTGCGTTCTTTAACACTAACAGCTATATTGTGTAAATACTTAAATGTGGATAACAGTTAGTTTATTGTATCTTACTAAAATGATCAATTATTTTGAATTTTCTTTAAGAAATTACTAAAATATAACTTTATTTCTAATTTACTATTTTATTACCTTCTTATTAAAGAATAACGGTTTTCATGCAAATTATTTTATGTTCCTACGAGTTACGTAATTAAAACCAAACCTAAAAAATTAATTTTCTTACTATACAACAATCCGCTCACCCAAGTCTTTGATAATATAATACAACTCCAAATCGTAAACCGTTATTGTTTACCTTTTTATCTGGAAAATAGTTAAAACGCCAAAGAGGTACAAAATCTCTTTTCAATCCCAAACCACTCTATCGTTGAACTTAACACAGTTACTGAGATCGTAAATCTCGTTTTACGTTTGATAGTAGAGGTAATTGCCCCTTTACGTAGTGTGTAAGCATTTTAATCCGCCCGATCATCCTTAAATTAGTTAATCTAACGCAGAATATCTACGGAATAAGAATATACTTTTGACTATTTTTTTTTTAATAGTAAGTAGTAGGTTCTAACTAGCAATCTTCGTTGGTAGTTTAGACCTCTGTTGGACGATTATTTTGATTGCATACGTTTGTTTGAAATTTCAATACTGTTTTAACATAAATGGAGAAAAGTCATCCGGTTAGTATAATTTTAGTCTCCTGATTGTACAAGATAAGTAGGTTATTGAAAGAGAATACTGTGGTAATTGAGATTCGATTTTTAAAACGACAAACCTTACTAAATAGCAGAAATATTCAATCAATAATCGTGTCGGATTATTTACATGCATTAGTGCAGCAGTGGTAATCTGTGATCACTGTGCATTTCTCGAAGAGACCAGACAAAACCTCGGTCCTCTAATGTCTGATTAGGTTAGTTAACAACAGTACACCCAAATATCGCACACAACATTCTTAGTATATTGCGCCACAGATAGTTATGTGTAAAAAGGTTTTCTCCTTTCAGAGGATCCCAAGTTTGTATTTGATCTTTCTTTATTTGTAAACTTGAAAGGAAATACAAATTTCAAAAACATAATTGACAGGGACTTGAAACATATATAGATTCTATTGTGTTTACAGCTTGGGATTAAATGCACGGGTTGTGGTAGAGAGATTGGTGTAACCATAGATAAAACATACTCCCTTAGTAGATTTCTCATCCTAATGGAACAGCTGAAGACAATTTTATTGTTAGTTCTGTACGGTTTATGTAGAGGTCGTGTTTTGTTTACAATTTGTTTCCCGTTAATACAGTCATTTAAAACCTCGTTTAACTAAATAATACAATCTAATCATAAACAATAAATTATCCCCTAGTTATTTTATTTAACTAAAAAGTAAAGCACCAGTCTAGAAATTAACCCTAAATTAATAGAAACAAGATTTCGTCGACACTAGCGCCCAGTGTGGCGTACATGAACTAGACATGAAAAACGAGCTTCAAGATTTACAATGGGATGAGAAGTCTACTTGTGTTGGTTAGTCTATGGTGTAACTAAATATGAAACCAAATGTCAAATTTGATTCTGTTCTTGTAAAGGGAATCAATGCCGGCTGTTATATCCCCGAAGAGATGAAGCGAAACCGAGAGGCAGCGGGAACCGGAGTTTTGCCAACGGGTGTCAGGTAGATGGGGGGGATGCCTTCGGCCACCTCTTGGTGCGGAGATTTGCCAACGGTGGTGGTGGGAGAAAGAGTGTGATGGAGGGAGGGAGAGCGATTGTCAGGGTTGTCTACGCTTGGTTGTTATGCGCTTGTTGCAGTGGGTTAGGTTAGGTTAGGTTAGGTTAGGTTAAAAATTCAATACATTTCCTTTCACAGTCAGAGGTGCATAACTCCATTACTTTAAACACAGTCAGCATCCTGCCTGGTTTGTCCACTCCTAGCGGAACCGTGTGTGTGTGTGTGTGTCTGTGTGTGTGTCTGTGTGTGTGTCTGGATGTGTACAGAGCTAGGGACTACACCTGTGGTCCGATTTCAATGAAATTTGGTATGTAGGTTCTAATCCGTGGTATCTCCAGGCGTTTTTTTCATTTTTTTGAAATTTAGATTTTTTATGGGGATTTTCCCATAAAAACCCACAAAAAACCGGAAAAATCGGATTTTCTCAAAAATGGCCCGAACGATTTTGGTAAAAATTTAGTATGTTGTAGCCCTTTAAAGTCTGAACAAAATGGTACAAATCCCATTTCTGTAAAAATTATGGTTCAAAAGTTATGGTAAATTATGTTATTTTCCCATAAAAACCCCATAAAATAACAAAAAATAGGATTTTAGACAAAAATCCGGTTTTGATTTAACAGAGTATGTTATGATCCTTTCAATTTTGATAGTTTTAGTCATTTTTTAGAAAATGTTTTTTTTTAATGGGGATTTTCCCATAAAAAACTGGAAAAATAGGATTTTCTCAAAAATGGCCCGAACGATTTTGTTAAAAATTTAGTATGTTATAGTCCTTTATATTCTGAACAAAATGGTACAAATCCCATTTCTGTAAAAATTACGGTTCAAAAGTTATGGTGGATTATGTTATTTTCCCATAAAAATCCCCATAAAATAACGGAAAATCGGATTTTCCCAAAATTGGCTAGAACAATTTTGATAAAAATTTAGTATGTTATAGTCCTTTAAATTCTGAAGAAAATTTTACAAATCCCATTTCCGTATATTTACACTTACCGCTTACGCATGAGAAAGGTTGTTGACAATCTTATGGGAGAAAGTATGTGTCAGAATGCTGATACCGTTTATTTCTCATGAGATGAACTGTTTTTTCCATCATATTGCACCACTTTTAAGAGAAGTAAGTTACAAAACAAAAACTTCTTTTCATTTAAAGATAAGTTCCCAATAGTTATTTGTGTAACTATAGTGTGCGAATTGGCACTTAGCTGCATATGAGCCATATGTGAGTGTGGAAAATTTCTCGAGTGCAACAAAGGCACTTTGCTCTCACTAGTCTCACACACATTATATTTTTCATACAGTTACTATAAAGCATATAAATAATTAGTCTTTCAAACACTATACAACAAATATTTTTTAGGTTGTGTTAAATCCAAGCTTTCATGCTGCACCAGCTGATAGTAGTCGTAATATCTATAAGTGTTGCCAACTTATTTTCAGGCATACACATATTATGTGCCTTATAGAAGCACGCTGCGTTGTGTTGTGTGGTTGGAATACTAGAGTCAGCAAAAAAAAGGTGCGGCAAAAGTAAGTAAATGCAGAAATTAGCAACTTTCTGTACTGTAATCAGTGCAAGGTAGCCCACTTTGTCAGGTAACTGTAGGAAAACTTATTTTCAATTTTGTAACTGTGAGCAAGCAGCTGTTCATTACGTAAGGTATAGAATCCTTCGTCTATTATATTTGTGTCTGTTATTTATAACATCAATAGATATCTATATGTCAAACTATTGATGTATAAATCATTTTCTTGAATTTTTTTGGCATTCAGTGCAAAAAAACTGTTTCCTTGTATCATCAAATTTCTTTGATTAAACGTAAACAACTTAAAATCCAGTCAACAACAATGAACTATGTTTGAAAACAATACCCATACTTTCGATAAATTTTGTTTGCTTACACTCGAAGTTAACAAACGACAAAGCGTAAAGCTGACGCCATCGACTTCAGTTAATTTTTACTTCCTAAGGAGAAAAAGAGCTATTTTAGACCAAAAATACATTAATTGAAAACAGCTGTTTTCGCTGCAACATGACAAAAATACTTTGTCAACCCCCTGTAAAACTATGTGGGAGTTGTCATTTCTGAATCAGCTGATTAATAGTGGTCACTCATCGAGGTTGCAATGCTGCAGAGAATCTACTTACTGAAGTAAATGTTGACTATATTTACTACTGCGTAGGGGGAGGGACTCAGATGGGGGTTTACCACAATGGCTGCTCCTCAGCAATTCTTGACATCACTGTTCCCACAAAATTAACCAAATAAAAATATATAGGACAAAATAAGTTCAACGAGGTGGTAGGGAATAATTAATACCATACGAGAGGACCCGTGCGATACAGTAGTTAAAAACTCCTCTTTGAGGTATAAAAACTAACTTCGTAACTTTAAAAATGTAACATTCAAGAAAACCCTAGTTAAATGACAATATAATGTAAGAATATTTTTTAATACAATTATTCAAAATAATTTATTTTAACTATTTAAAATGTGTCTATTGTAGATCCACGTACACCATCAAGAATAACTGACCAACCTTATTCAGGCTACAACTATCAATAGAGGTGACCAAATCATCAATTTTGTTTTGTTTTCTTTTTTTAAATTTCTGGTGAAAAAAATAAAACTGAAAGTAAAACACAGTTCACATTTAAACCTGTTATGTATGCATGTTGATCAAAAGAACCTGAACCATAAAAGTACCCGCTCAAAATTAATCTGTCACACACCTCAATTTATTGAAAAAAATCTGTTAAGCACGAAAGGTGAGGTAGGGGATGTTACAGAAAAAACTCTTAATTATTAATTATAGATAATAAACAGCATCATAGAGCTGAATTGTGGTGTCTTTCTACCCCACAATAGTACCCACTACGACCACAATCGTAGTACAGTACCACCAATTGTAGTAGCACTACGATAGTTTTTGTGAGTGGGGGCTATTGAAAATTCCTTCTCATCCCGGTCTTAGTCAAGAGTTCAAGACTACAAGAAAACAGCTAAGTTATGGTTTTTAACGGTTCCTTAAAACATTACAAAATTGTTACTTGAGTAGGCTATAGTACATTATCATCATAAAAAATATTAATTGTGGTTGGTTTGAATTGTTCTTGACCAAATTATCAAGTTGTTGTAATTGACCATTTTGGATGTCAAAGAAAGGATATAATAAAAAATATATCATGATATTCTTAAAATCAAATGGTATATTGGAAATAAAACATTACTTACATCATGCATTAAATCTACTACATGCAAAACAACAATTGGTTTAAACAACAAAGGCCGTAACTTACCGAACTTTGTATAGGTTCTGGTTTAAAACTGTGATTGTACCGTGGTTCAGGTATTTATTTACCTAATACTATGAAAGACAGCAAGTGTGTAGCACGGTTGCCTAGAATAAGTTACATTACACTGGCAATAGGTGCTTGTTGAAACAAAAACAGTATAATTAATTAAAAAAAAAAATTGTAAATAACATTTTTTTAAACAAATACATTTGTATGTTTGCACAATAAAGCACCAATTTAATTTATGTATTTAAATTTGTTTACAAACTTTGCGTCTTCTGCTACAGAATCGGGAAACATATCGATGTGACTTGTAAAGTTATTCTAGGTAGCCATGGTAAGTAGCATTCAACATTACCAAAATAAGAGAAACACAATTTTTATTTTAAATACAAACTCAAAAAACAAACATTTTAATATTAATATTAATAATTATTAAAACATAATAATAAAAATACAAGGAATCAAATGGTGGAATGAGAACATAGATAAACAATTATGTTAAACAAGAGAGAAGCATATTTGTATAGGGTAATTGAAAAAGACATTTAAAAAAACATAGAAGTGATATTCAGATCATGTTAAAATAGAAAGATAACCGGTTATGCTTTTAAATACATATTTTATTTGTTACAGAACATTTAAAAAGGATATCAACCGACGATCGGTGACTAGAGTGCACGATCTACAGGTTTCAACAAATTAATCTCGCAGTGCAATAGAAATACTATCATCAACATTATAAAAATGTGATTCTACCATTAAACAACATCTGTTTATATAAGTTAACAATGAAAAACAGGTTATTTCTGGACATTGAATCCGCTGACCACTCTCGATATAGCGTTACCATGTAAAAATATTTTAAGCCAAATATACCTAAACATTTGTTATTTATCTATCTAAGATCTTCAGTATAACATAATTGCGAATAACATTTACATTTATACTATACAAAGGGATTAACATAAATAAAAGATTCTTATTTTCAATATGACACGAGTCGATAGATAAGTCTTTAAATTATAATAAAATACACTCTACACTCTGTGGAGTCGTGAAGTCTTTCTGTACAGTATTTATTTTTACAAAGACGAGTGTCCGATACTTAGACCCGGTCTAAGTATTGGCGTGCCACTATATATGCACTCGTATATGAGCCAGCAGTTCAGAGCGGTCCGCAAAGCCGTGACCACACATCTCACAGTTCACTAACTCCGGTTTGATCATAACTTCCACCGGAGGTTCCGGAGGTATGAACTCAGTATGGACCACTTCACTGTGAACACCTTCGATGTTGAAATCATCGACAATACAAGTCTCTAGCTTCTCCTCACTCACTTCGCTCTCACCGCACAAGTCAGGTTCAATCTTGGTTGATACGCCGTTGAGATAGTCGTTCGACGTAGATTTTGTCTTCTCCCTCTTCACATAAGTCTTCTTGGTTCTGTTCTTCTTCTTAGACAGAGGAAACGTAGCCGGTTCCAACTTGGTCACTTTCATGTTGTGGTAGTTGACGTTTTTCGTCCTCGGTCGGTTGCGGATGGCGTCCGACCCATTCAGTATAGTCTCAAGGCTGTCTTCTAGAGACGGATATGTTACGTTTTTGGTCCGCGGTCGCTCTCTGTCATCTGGTCTTGAAACGACGTATTTGGAGGCGTAACTAGTATTGTTCAATAGTTTTGCCGCCTTAGCGCGTTTCTCGATGCGTGCCAGCTTTGTAAGCTTCGACAACGCTTTCGTCTTGTGCTTTTTCAAGGCTTTATCCAGTTTTTGTTTCTTAGGGTCTTTGACCATTAGGGAATCGATATTTTGAATCGCGTTCTCACAAGCTTGAACGACAGATTTTTCTAACTCCTCAGTGGTCGGTAATGGGGGTGAGTCGTAACTGTACTTTTTCTTAATAAGCTTTTTGTTTTTGTCGGGTATGGAGTCGCTGGAGTCAGTAGAGTCGGGATCCAGGCCTGGAGACGTCTTAACGGGAGACGGTGGTCCCAACTTACGTCTCCGTTTGTACTTGCGAGGTCCCATGTTGGGCAGCCGATGTTTGGCAGTGTTTTCATCACTGTGCTGCACCAGATGCACACACAACTCAGTGGAGGACGAGAACAAGTTACCGCAGACCTTGCACTCGTAGCAAGAGTTCACTTTAGAGTCAGAGCCTGAATGATGGGCGCGAATGTGTTCCCTCAACACCACCTGCAAATAAAATAGTATTGTACCTTTGAAGTTTTATACAGGAAAAACGTATTCATAATTATAAATATATCAAACTTTGACCACGGATAGAATTAGACATTCCATTCTTAAAGTTGTAGCCAGTTTTAGAAGCAAAATTCACATAGTTGAATTGAGCTACCGTGGAAGTGTGCTGATGAATTACTGGTACTGGTTTTTGTCAGATATGCCAACTAAGCCAAGCCGGCTTAAAACAAAAATTGGGGGGAAAATATATTTTAGCACACTCTGTGGGTCATTCAACTATGCTCTGTAATGAACCACAGCCATATAGATTAAATGTCTGATTCTGTATCCATGAGTCAATGTTTAGACTTGCTGGTGTTACTCACCCGTTGGTTGAAAGCTTTGGGACAAACGGGACAAACATATGGCTTCTCCCCAGTGTGGATACGTTCATGTTTTCTCAGAGTACCTCCGTCAGCAAAGGCCTTCCAGCAGAAGCGACAGCCGTACGGCCGCTCGCCCGTGTGTATCCTCACATGTATCTGCTGGGAGCTGCGAGAGCCAAACGTTTTGCCACAGTCGTGACAGGGGAACGATCTCGTCGGATGGTTGTTGGTCGAGTTGTGACTGTGTCTATGACTCATGAGAGCTCGGCCGTCGGGAAATTCTTCTCCACAATCGGAACATGACACCGCCTTGTCTCTGTGCGACATCATATGTCTGCAATGATAAAATATTGTTTGTTATAATTTCTTGCAATATCCAATTTGATGAAGTTAGTCCATGAACTGAAGGGAGAAATTAATTACAGTTCTGGACAGCCTATAGTGGACCATGACTTGGGTCTGTCTCCAAAGTCGGATATTATTAAAGAAAATTCTTGTTGCTTCAGTTGTGCTTTACTAGTTACCTTTACTGTGAACTTAACCGAACGGCAGTAATAAAAGACGGGCTGCAACAGTGAACAATATCCGGATTAGGACACCAAGACAACCTTTTGGTCGCCATAGGCTGCCAGAACTATAGTGCGCCCAAGTGTCAGCTAAACATAATAGTTGATCATTTAATTTTCAACGTGCATTGTATAATGTCTACCTGCGGAGACGGGCCCGACTGAAGAATCTCTTGCTGCATGTGTAGCAAGGGAAGCCGCGGTTTTCTTCGCTATTGCAGGTGTGTTTGGCCAGTGCACGCTGGTCCTTGCACACTTTTCCACACAAGTTGCACACACAGTCCTGTGCAGACTCCGCATGCACTCTGCGCACGTGCTCGCTCAGCTCCTCGGAATCAATGAACCGAGCACCACAAGCCATACATCGCTGGTCCCTGTCAACGGTACAACGCAATCAACCACAACTCAACCTGTATCATTGGGATTTCACATTATTTGCTTTGGATGGTCTATCAAAATCATAAAGGATGTTCCAACTTGTTCTAAACACTCTAGTCCAGTTAAGATAAAGTGTTCACAGCTTTTAATGGAATTTTGATTAAAGATAAATGAATAAAAGTTCACAAAAAAAGTATAACTAATACTAGTACAAGTTAAAAGACCTACCTTAGTTTATATAGCTGACAGTTTAACAGTAAAAAATATTACTAGCCTACAACTTAAGTTTGTTATTTTGATTTGCAGAATGAAGGGACAGCAGCTAGCTTTTATTGTAAGTAGTAAAAGTAGGTCATAGAACACACACTAATACACAATATTTGTTGGCCCCTGGGGGACTTTTTTAAGTGTCAAGAAGAATGTTATCTCCCACCCAGCAAAATATTGTGTGTTTTATTTGTCTTTTATGTGTTCTCTGGCCTACTTGTACTTATTTTAAAGTAAGTGATGTGTTATCAAAGTGGATAAATTATTTCCAACGACTGTAATGAAACACCCAAGAGCCTACATGAGTGAGTACCTGGTGTCTTGTACATGAGTCTCTGCGTGTGTGCGCAGTTCTGCAGCATTCTCAAAGAACTGACCACAGACTGTGCAGACATGGTCGTCCTCACCCACCTCCTGCATCACCTCTGGCTTCAGATGAGTCCTTCAAAAAACATAGCCTACATCAGCACCATCACACTCAAAAACAATTCTTCAATCACTGGGTTGGCACGTTACACTCTTACTCAGTGTTAAGTATGGGGGGGGGGGGGTTTAACTTCAATTTTACCAAGATATGCAGTTATGTACAGGTTGTGAAATAAAAAATGAAAGCTACACTCTTTCACAAACTCCCAAGCAGTTTTACTCTCACAAGTGATTAATCCGTTTTCCGTTTCGTAATTAATTTTGCTTTATTCAATAGAATATTGTGTAATGAGCTCGGAGGAGATTTAAGTTTTAGAGTAAGCAACACCCTTCATCGATGCTTCATCTTTCAGTAGAGTAGACCCCCTCATATCCGATTATGACGGGACCGAGGAGAAGGATAACAGCAGTTTACAAGACAAGGGTAATTGTCTCCCCCGGACCGCGATAAAACCCGTGGGCGCAACTTGCAGTCTCCGTGACTTCAGTAATCTTCTCTCACAACGGCTGAAACAACCGTGAGCGTAACTTGCCACGATTACAGGAACATCCACGATAAGCCTTTCAGTCAATCATTCCCGCTCTGCATTATCGCTCCAGATAGGAAACATGTAGACGGTCGTACACTAGGTCGGTTATCCCGAGGAGTTGGGATATGAGGGGGTTCTATTTTATAGCTAATTAGATTCTGAAAAAAAAAACAACTTAAGCTAAAATCACTTCATCTCCATTCCTCTAAATTACCTCCAGTTATAGACAATTACAAGGATGCTTTAGCATGATAAAAAATAGTAGTAGTAGTGATTTCCCGAAGATGGGTTAAAAGTGAAATGAACTTTGGACCTTTCCCATCAATTCACTACCACTGTTTTTTTTAGATTTAAAAGTTATAAATCCTGCTTAGGATTAGGTTATTTGGTAGGGTTGGGTTGAATTATTGAAGTACTTAACGTCAAACTTTAATTGTGTATTGTTATGTACAAATTATATGGTGGCAGTGAATTAGCAGAAAATGTCCTAAACCTTTTTTGAGAGGTAATAACGTCCCTTACATGGAGTATTGCTCCTCATTACTGTAATAGTCATATTGTGTGTCAGCTATCTTAAACATTAGAAATTGAATTCTGCCAAAATAAGTAATTGAAAAAAAAAAAAAAAAAAACTCCTCACAGTATGTGACTTGATGGGTTGAGTGCTTAAAGGGAAACAGTGGGTGGTAGTGCATAGTTCTGTTTACCGTTTGTGTTTCTTGAGGAGGTCCATGCGATTGAACGAGTCGCCACAACTGTCGCAGAAGAATGTGCCGAAGCGGTCGTCGCCGGTGTAAGCTGGCCCTGGGGACTCGGGCACGTGGTTGGGGTGTTTACTGCGAGTATGTTCCCTCAGTAGTGACACAGCCCAGAACATCTCTCCACACACGTCACACTCAAACGGAGAATCTCCTCCATGGATACGCGAGTGAGAGGCAAGTGCCTGCAAAAAACCATAAGTCGCAGCATGATAAACAAACAACTGACATTATTTTTTAATCATTGCAGTCATTTAAAAACATGATTAGTACAGAAATAGGTTTGGGATCTGGAATTTGACTCAGTCCTCAGATGAGTTTAGAAAGTACCTAAAACATAACAAACTTAGTACATAAGCCCAACCAAATCTGGGAAATCACAAATTACATCACACATAGAACTAACTAGTGAGGTAGTAAATAAAACTAAAAACCCCTTGAACGTTAACCCTCTCAGTGTCAAACATCGATGGAAATGACACGCTCTGGGGTGTCAAGCGTAGATGCATCGACGGTAGAGCAGTCAGTTGCACATCGTCTTTTAACACAGTCAATTTCAGTCCGATTTGGACTGGATGGTACCTATCACTGTAAAAAGCAGAAAGCTGGGTTTCTCCTGGTGTATGTTTTATAACCTTACTTTGGTTTGTTTGAGAAAAATACATGTTTTGGTTGATGTGTTTCGTGATGTTGTTGTTGTTTGAATTGGTTGTTACGATATTTTCTTTATTGAAAATAGATTTTTATCTGTTTAGACTACGTATTTAGATGTCCAAAATAATTAATGATGACTAATTTGTTAGTTTGATGTGTTTGCTGTAATGTTTTTAAGGTTATCTGTAATTTCAGTAAACAGTTAAGTCATTGTAAGTACATTGTAAGAGTGATTTGCGACTATTCGTTTATGACTTATGGCTATCCTAAAAATTAAGGGCCGGTTTCGGAGCTCGGGACTAACGCTATTCCTGGACTAAAATCCAGTTCAAACCAGTTTTTATTCTAGGACTAAAAAATCGGGTTTCGGAGCTCGATGATTACGCTAGTCAACGACTAAGTCTATTCCGAGAGTTAACTAGTCCCTGACTTACTCTCATGGGTTTCGGAGCCACGGGTTACTTAATCCTCGAATTAAATGTTATTCGATCGGGTTTCGGAGCCAAATATTTAATCCACAACTGGGCAACAAAGACTAACTCGAGGAATAAATATGGACAATTTTTAGTCCAGGCGAAGGGCAGGATTAAGGGGCGGACTAACTTAACTTTTGATGTAATTACTCAATTTGTGAAGTTGTATCTATATAAATGCCAAATTCTTAATCGGCATAAAATTTACTTGCAATTTCATACCTCTTGATATTTTTTCGTAAAATTTTATTTTTCTCTTAAGTATAATAAGCAAACCCATCTTTGAATGAAACCCGTTTATCTACAATTTATGCTTAAGACTATAATAGGCCAAACGGTCCCTAAAATTAATATTATAAGGTACTAAACGTAGAATTTAAAATAACAATATAACGATGAAAGAAAGAAAAACTTAACTGTATGAAAAAATTAATGTAGGGCCTATCAAATCTAAATACGTATTTAATACGCTTGGTACATAATGTTACATAGGGTTACATGCATTTAAATGGTCCATTTAACGAGTATTTGGGGACGTCGGTTTTACCGAAAAACCCGTTATCCGGACTGGCCTCGGTCCAGAGGAGTCCGGATAGTCTACTGTAATGCAATATTTTACTAAATAATACTTTTAACCAAAACTAACAGTATGCATAACAAAACAAGACTTATGTATTAGTATTATTTTCAATTGAAACTCATACCTAGTAGGCTATAATAATTTGGAATTTGGGTAAAAAAAAAATTCAGCCGTGAGCTAACTCGGACAACCTGGATTCTCAGATAACCGGAGCTCAGATGATTGGAAGTTAACTGAAGTTGCTTGGACACCTACTTATTCTCTACTACACATTGTACTTCCAGAGGAATTGTTAAAATACAAAACAATCAGAGAACACAAATACATTCTAAGCAGATAAATTATAACTACGCCTACTCTTAAATTGTTGTAATAATGATAATTTTTTACGGTTGATTTTCATACAAAGAATAATAAAATATTTCCCTTTATTTTTTATCATCCTACAGTATTCATTTTAAAATAATTGTAAGATCCTAAATAGACAATTATTGGGGTTTGCATTAGGATTACAAAAGTCACAACCAATCTCTAATATCTCAAATGCCTACAGTTTTTAGATTCTCATAAAAAATAACTTGGACAAAGTAAAGGCATATACTAATACATTTGACACCTTATTCTTCAATCGGGAAGTTTTTTTTTATCAATTTTAGCAGCAATAAATAAACCTTCAGTTTTTTTATTTATTTTTTTTTTATGATGGTTCCCATAGCAGGGTTTTTATTTCGGCATTCGTTTTTGAACACGATCTCTTCTTTTAGTTACCATCTTCAGTGAAACTCAAGGAATCATTATCCCAACTGATAAGTGATTAGAACCAGACTAGACAGTAGACGCTAGTGTCGCTATGAGCGCAGTCCGTGAACAACTTTGGCAGGTATCGTCTCAAATTCGTCTGTCCGCTGCCACTACCAATACTCAAAAACTAAAATTCCCCGTGATTCCTGCCTTAGTCCTAGAATAAGTAGTCCAGAAGTTGACGAATAAAGTTAGTCTCCGAATAGACTAGTCCGCGGACTAGGGAGTTAGTTCGCGAGCTCTGAAACCCGATTTTTTATTCGATGATTAACTTTATTCACTGATTAAGTAACTCCAGGATTACGTATTCCCGAGCTCAGAAACCCGCCCAAAGTTAATCATACCGTACTAAAGTTCATATAATATTAAGAAATAAATGGCCATTTCAGATGTTTTATTTAGTTGCTATTACTCATAAAAATAGGGGCACCAATATTTATTTCATATATCTGTTTTGTAATTTTTATCTTTCTAAGTTAGGCTACATTTGTATTATAAACAATTTATAAATACCCAATTATTTATGCTCATCTATAATGTGCATGTATTTAACTGCACAAAAATATATAACAAGGTTTAAGTATTTAGCAAACTAGATTTGTTATAATAAAAAAAAGAACATTGCTGCAAAATGCCCGAAAATCTACAGACTCCACACAATAAATTACTGACACCAAGAGGGGGTTAAAGGTCTCAATCTTTTTTTAAAAACAGTCAATGTAATTTCTTATAGACTTACTAAATTGTTATAGTTAAATGGGAGGATTTGCACTGAGGACATAATGTTAGTTGATCATTGTAACTTTTGAGGTTGTTCACAAGACATTTGTGTATTGTGTCTTTTTTAAGTGATTTTTGGATGGATTAGCACTATTTAAAGGTACAATAAAGAGCAGTTCAGTGGTTATAAGTGTTAAAACAGAAGTATTCTTAATAAAGACATTTTGGTAAAAACATTAGAGTACGGTACTGTATTGTCTTACCTTTTTTAAGAAACTTAATTTTTTCAAATCTTTGAAGAGTTATAAATTGTTCACTGGTTGCTTGAGGTTCAAATTGTTTTAGGTTCCACTATATTACAAAATGTGTCAACATTTGTTGGATAGTAAAATTAGTTTTTAATGAATCACACAATTTAAAGCAAAAAACACTTTTACCAAAGAATCACACTGTTTACTAACAAGGAAACAACTGTCCTGTCCAGTAGGCCTATTGTTAATTGTTATGGTAACTAGAAACAGACAAAAAGAAAAAAGAATTTATCAAAATAAAATCCAAACAGATTTAAATTATAGCCTCATTTGTTTAAACCTCTCTGTGTAGCTAAAAAAAAAGAAAATCAGCTGTTTTTTTGTTTACTTTTTTTAACACAATGTTTAACACATTCACTGCTAATGATATGTAATACTTTTATAAATGGCTAAAAAACATAAACATTAACATGATCATGTTAATTGAGTGACAATATATCTTTAATTAAATAAATTTTATATTATAAATTGTGGATTAAAATATATTATGTAATTATATACATCATGTATTATATATCTGCTAATATACTTATGACGCACATGTGCGTCATTAGCAGTGAACGTGTTAAGCAGAATTACTGTTTACAACAAGAAAACAAATTAGTGTTAACTTTGGAGTGAAATGAATTACCCTAATGATATTAAAGGGAAAATAACACTTGTTATTCTATATACAATGCCCCACATTGACTGGCATCATAACAAACTAAGAAAAATAAAAGTTTATAAAAGGTATAAATGACAGTTTTGGCCAAATTTTGAAATTGATTTGATAAATTTTTACACGATGATGAAAAAATCCAGGATTATTCATCATTCAGGATTATTCAGGTCAGGATTATTGATGAATAATAATTTTTTGACACTATTTAAATGTACCTATGTGCATGAAATAAATAAAGAATTTTTGATTTGATTTGAATCCTGACTTTAGCAGTTAATTTGGCTGTAAGAAATTTTTATTGGAAGTTATGAGCACTAATGGGGGTAACTTTTAAGTCTTTTATGGGTTGGATTCACTTTAATAAATCCAAAAATAAATGTTAACTTAAGGTTAGGGAATGGCTATGGACCCTTGGCCTGGGTGGAGGGAGGTATCTAAATGTGTGCAACAAGTAAGTAAAAACAAGAGAGAGGTTATTTAAAGGGATAATTCCAGATAGTTCCTATTACTTTTACTTAATTTTGGCAGTTGTGTGAGTGATTTTAGGTTTTTTCCTCTTGCCAATATCCAGATTTTGCCGGGCTATGTGATGAGAATCTAACTTAAAATTGAAAGTTTGAAAGTTAACCTGGATTTAATAAAAAAAAAAAAAAAAAAAAAAACTGGACAAAGAATTATTTATGATAAACATATTAAGGACTGTGAATATTTCAACACCTTGATAAGTGTATATAAAGCTGGGTTTTCCTAGATGCGGAAGCGGAGAGAGGAACGCGGAGAGCGGGAAAGAGATTAACATGGTGTTCCGCTCTGCTTCTAGCAAAACAGTAACATTTAGTGCCCTAAGACAAGTGGAGTCCGCTCTCCGCGTTCCTCTCTCCACTTGCGCGCCTAGGAAAACCCAGCTTTATGTTTATACAGACTCATCTTAATTATTGTACAATTTGATGGAATGATAGTAACTATAACTATTTGGAATTGCATAAACAAGCCCCAAAAATGTAGAATGTTTGTTTTAGAACTCATAGTAAATAATTAGTTAGATACTCCAATTCTTTAGAGTAGAAAACAAAAGTATCTATCTTAGAAGAATATTACTATAGTTTAAGCATAGATAAATAGAATAAATATAGACCGTCAGCTGTGCTGCAGTTAGCATAAGTTCTGGCGTCCACCGCTAGGTTTGCCGTGTAGTTACGGCGCACACCGCTGCAGCGTTTGCTGGTCGCATACGGCTCCTGCGCTCCTCACCTGCAGCGCACTCCTACACAGCACTCCTAGTGGAGGGCGCCGAAACCTTCCTTTGACAGTCTATATTTATTCTATTTGTCCATGGTTTAATTGAATCGTAAAAAAGAAACTGATTAAAAATACCACAAAAATACCAAAAATATCATACTGATCGATACTGATGCCAGAGCAACATGTTTTGTTAATAGTTTCAGGACATTTCCTGACAACGCTATGCATGTGAACCAGTGCATTCTTACCCCTTGTTGTAGATTGTTAAAAATTATATTCAACTTGAAATACAATTATTTCTCTTTGAGGATACAAAGAAATAACATTCGACTTGACCTGAAATTTCACATTGGGAGTTCAACTGTGAAAATCAGTCTGGGTTTTATATTGATTTGTACATTTCAAACTCCTCCATTGAAGTACGTCCTTTGATTGAAAACGTCCATTTTATTCTTCTTATGTTATGACAGAAGTAACTTGTAGACAAGTAATTATGTCATTATTATTGTGATTACTTTCGTTGGGATGTTGGGTGAATGTTGAAACATGTAACATCTAGATTGTTACCACAGCTGACCAATAGTGTAAAACCCAAATTAGTCATTACTGTTACCTTCTCTCTGGCAAAGCCGACGCCGCAGTGTTGACACACGTAAGGCCTGGATTGGTCCACCACAGGCCACCGAGGCACCTGGCTGACTATGTCTGTGTTACGTGACATCTCGTTCAACAAGCGCATATCCTCGTCTACATAGCTGACTGCCTTCGACACCACACCACCTCCCTTCACCTTCCTTATCTTGATTACGTTCTTGCCTGCAAACAGACTCATCATAAACATTGTCGCCACCAAGACTGAGTAATCAAAATATATAAAGAGAAATATACCTTATATGCATCTAGTTCTATCATTGACTATTGGAACTTTCAAGTGCTTTAGGAAAATATTATTCTTGAACTATAAAGATTTTGTAAATCTTAAGCATGGACAAAATTTACGTTTTGCCTGGATAATTTATTATGTAAGTACGCTACTGAGTAAGCCTAAGTAAAAGTAGCTAATAATTGATACTAGACCTAAGCAAAAAACCATGTTATAATGGAAGGAATGTAACACACAACACTATACTCCGTTCAGAAAAGTTTGTGTGGTTATAGGGGAAGAGATCAAACCCCTCCACTTCAAACTACCTTTAAACAATAGCTCAACTACTGAGGTAACTGAGTAAATACAAACAATTACTCAATCCGTCAATCACCTGATACATACATTAAACAAATACCCCCGCCGCAGCAAACCTGCCAACCAAGTGAATTTCCATTTGTCTGAATTGATTTTCATTTAAATTTAAATAACATTAGGTTTAACGAGTACCAAAGTTGGCTGCTATAAGGAAACTAATAAAGTGTGTTTTAATTTTAAATATTAATAGCTTAGTATATCTCACACTACTGGGACTTTCCTCCAAGCTCAAAATTTTTGAAAATTTTTAAAAGAAATAATGCTACAACGGCTGGCATATTGCCATGGTAATAACAAACGTGTAAACATAAAAATTGTGAAGACGCTCCACTATGAATTCATGCAACAGCTGTTTTGATAGGTTAGTCTACAGTGTTGACACTTTTGTCTCGCCGCAGCCTTGTATTATAGTGGTCCAATGACATTAAATAATGATTATGATTTAATACTTCTTTTGAATAAAGACAAAACTGTACCGAATTTCTTGTCCTGCTGATAGTCCAAGGAGTCGCTGAGATCGCTGCTGAAGCTGTTTTTCTTCGGCTGCAGTTTCTTACGACGACCCTTGGCCTCTCGTATGTCCTCGTCCTCGTCGTCTAGCGAGCTGCGAGGCGGAGCGTAGGCGTGCATCTTCATGTGATTGACAAGGTCACATTTGCGTCGGTACCTCGCCCCACACAAGTTACAACCTAAACCATGACATTGGTCGTTGGTAAGGAAATGGTTCAACCTTTACAATTGCCAATATCGTTGACTTTTGTAGGATAGCATCATTAATTGATAGCCAATTAAAAATAAACGGTAGGCCTACCTATCTACAGATGCATAAAGCCAGGTATTTTTCTTCTACAATGCTTGGCGCATAACTCTGTACTCTGTACTTCACTAATTCTTCTTTATTTGGGATAAAATGTGCCTAGTTCTCCGTTTGATCTCTTGGTTGAATATGTAAAGATCCCTTTCTTAGTTAATAAAAACTACTATGATGATTAGTACTGGATTGATAGGTTTCAAATTGGTATGTAGCTGGACCAGTGGTTAGTATATTTGACTTGGGTCCAGAAAAATTCCCAGCATATCTACAAAAATTTGAGTGGTTTTTTCTTAAATGCATTTGCGATTCCTTAGCAAAAATGCTACAGTCACAGACACTGCAAAAAGTGTCTTTTCCTCATTGAATAACATCCAAAGTCAATTACAAATACATCAAATACAGCAGACTAACGATTATTCACAAGTGTATTAACCGGGCTGCAAATTTATACTATGATAGAATAAAAAAATATAAATGAAAAACTTATTATAGCCTACAAGTTAAATGTAGGTTCACTAACAGTACTTGTTTTGTAAATGTATTAATATTGTGTGCACAGTACCTCTTCTGTAGGCCTAAGTTCTATTTATAAATTATTTATGGTCTATTAAATTTATGAATCATTTATGGCCTACCTAAACTTCTTCAAGGTAAGCTACGTGCTATCCTCCTTTTTCTACAATTCAAAGTCAATGTTAGTTATTGTGATTTTGTTTATTCACAATCTCTCAGCCATTAATAATTATTATTACCGTGGAGAATTAAGAGTCTACTGTACTTTTACACAAGAGCAAACACATGTTTATCATCTGTATATTACCATGAGGGCGTTCGCTCTGATGGGTGACCATGTGAGTCAGCAGTTGTGCCTTTTTGCTGAAGCGTTTGCTGCAGAAGTCGCAAGGGTAGGGATGCATCTGAGAGTACAAGTCCTGATCCTGAGGTAGAGGTATCTCGACTTCGTCAGCAGATTTGACCACCTCCACACGAGGTTTGTCCTCCACCACAACCCTGTAAACAGGATGAAATGTTTAACATCTTGACAATAGCGAGTATATTCCAGTGAAGACTGTATTTTAAGTTTGATCATTGACTGTTGTTGTATTAATAGTCAAAGGTTTGATCTAAATCAAGTTACAATTTTTTGTTTTTAGTACACAAAGTTAAATATAAGTTCTATTGTAGGGATGGTCAAGTCTCAAAATTTTGGGAAATTTTCGGGAAATTTTAAATCTCGCTACACGAGACGAGATTTCTTTTTGGCCGAGATTTTTATCGAGACGAGAATAAAAAAAAAAAAAATTAAAAACGCCTGCAGAAAGTCAATGCAATACCCGCAATACAGGAGCGTGTTGTAGTTGCGTTTCCTTTGCGAAGGCGTTCTTATTTAATTAACTCTTTAAATGTAAATATTACTTTAATTATTTTAATAATATTACTTTAATAACATTTGAGAATTTTTGTTAAGTGTGAGCAGTGTGAGGAATGTTTTATTACTATAAAAAGTCAAAACAAGTAGGTAACTATTTTATAAAAATTAATATTGCTTTTATTTTATGATTTATTTTATTTTAGGATAAGTTGAACTCTATCCTAACTGATATCACTATGTTTCCTAATCGTATGCATTTTTAATAAGTTAGGCGTGATAAATAAAAAAATGTTATGCTGATGTTTTTTAATAAAAGATTGTTTTTTTATATTCTTGCCTACTGTATTACCATTATTTTTGTATTTAAACAGTCATCTAACAATGTTACAAAATCAGGTAAAAATTTTGAACGTGCATTTCCCGTTGTGTATGAGAAGGGAAATCCCGTCTCGATCTCGTCTCGAAATTTTATGAGAAATAAAAAATCTCGTCTCGTCTCGTCTCGAACTAAAAATCCAATCTCGTCCATCCCTATTCTATTGTAATGTATCTTGTATCCTAGCTAAGATTTAAGAGTTAAGTTTTCAGACAAAAATACATCTCTAAAATACAACCCGAGGATGTAAAACGAGGGTCTAGGATTGTAAGATTTTTGTGAGAACAGTAGGCTAAGGCCTAAGGCCTAAAGACAATATTTTCTTCGACTCTTACCTTTCTTTGTTAAAAATTCAGTCACTGACAGTATAATATTTTTATATATGTTCTGTATGTCGTGTAAAGTATGTGTTTCTTGTACCATATTGACTATTTACCATTCAGGTAGCTAAGCCTGCTATGTGAAAAAAACCTAACATAATAAGTTGACTAAGTAGAATTTACTCAAAATCACCTAAAACAAGTAAGTAGGAATTAAATTACCTGTTAACACAAAATGTTACATAAATTGCCTAAACGACCAATAGTGCAAGTGTTTGTTCAATTAATGAAATCTTAATCCACAAACCTAATAAATTCCTAACTAAATCACAAGAATCACAAAGAATGACAGTCTACAAATACCAAAGGAGTTTTTTAAATAGTCTAAGATAAGTCCTATATGGGAACACTTTCCTCATTTGATCTAAAAAAAATTATTGCAGATTTTTTATTGATTTCATTTATTGCCAGCAAATGGTTGCACAGTTTGTTAACTCACTCAGTGACGACATTCCAGTTGTCGCTCACCACCTCCTCCTCGGCCACTTGTATCTCGAAGTAGTCCTGTACAGGTATGGATGTGGATGTCGCTGACACTGTAGACGACGAGTGCTCGCTCAGCTCTGTTGTGATCACTTCGTTCTGTGATGAGCCATACTCAACCTGTCACACAACATCAGAGATAAACTTTTGAGCACTCACAGCACAATACACAGCAAAACAGTGTTAATTAATTTGTCTTTTCAACATGTTCTTTAGAAAGAGTGGTGTTATACTTACATTTTCCACCTGCGAGTCGGGTGGGAACGGCTGACAGTTGTACAGCTCGGCCAGACTAGTGGCTGTCTCGTACAAGCCGTTGTTGACGCTGATGAAGCTAACAGGCTCGGGCTCCATCTTGACTGGTTGCAGCATCACACAGTCCTGACTGACCCCCACTATCATCTCCGCCTCCTCCACCGCCTGGTTTTTCTTCACCACCACCGCCATCGTGACAACTCTCTCCACTCACCGACACTACACAACATCAATACAGGGTGGACTCAGCTAAAGTGTGGCAATAGTTAACTTTTTTTATTATGAGGACAGTTGGAACTTTTTATGGGGGACTCCCCTTTAATTTTAAGATGCTTTTATGAGATGTTTCTTCAATATGACCTATAACTTTAAAATTTCTTAACACGTTCAGTGCGGGCTACATCTATTGATGTAGCGCGTCACGAGCGCTCCTATCGGCCTACATCTATATATGTAGTCGCGCCACTGCCAGGGAACGTTATAATCGTTGCCAGCCTAGATAGAATGTGAGCTTTATTTTTCCCCAAAAAATCCCGTCAGGCAATGCTTTTGTTCCCGTTTTGGGAATTGTCTCTCTTTGAGCCACATTACAAAGACACTGGCTACGGATCTAGTCAGTGCTGCTACCTTTGGGTGTTTCAGTGAACTAGGTCCACTCTCGGGGTAATGCAGCACAATCACCCCTGCCCTTTTGTTATTTGTCAGACTGAAATATTTGAAGGCCAATTGCGTTCACTGATTCGGTGGCGCGCCGGGGCTTTGCCTTGGCCTCGCCGCCATTGGCGAGCGCCAGTTTGAATGTCTACCGCACTGAACGTGTTAAGGGACACCCTGTATTTTATGAATGTTGTAGAATTTATATATGCAATTTTAAAACATTATTCTTCAAATTTCTTCTCTAAATCTGCTTTAAAAGCATGCTCTCTACAGTACAGCTTCTCACAGGCTGATGAAAACTTATAATTACCACCATGTTGTACTGGGTTGAGATAGAGGTTTATGTTTCTCACTGACGTTTTTCTTTCGCAAAGGTCTAAAAAATGAGGTCCAGTACTGCTCAATAATGCATTACTTGAAAAGTTATGGTAAGTTTAGTGGTATGAACTACTAAAAAAAAAAACATATTTCAGTGTCCCTGGAAATATTGTCATACAAACCAACAAATCCACTTAGATGCTGTAATACTAGGTGTGCAGAGTTATGTTTTCTTGATCTTGCCCATTGCAAAGTTAATAGAGATTAGCCATACTTCAAATTATTAATTATAACTATAAAAAAATGAATTAGGCTCCTGCTATGTACTTAGCCTAAACCAGTCCCTATTAAGCTAGGTATTAGACTTTAGATGGCTCAGCCAACTACATGAGCACGATTAAATTAGATTTTTACGATGCTGTAAAACCAGTATGTGAATTTTAAAGCAAATATTAGAGGTACAACGAATAAATGAGATTGGGTTTTATATAATAGGCTACCGGTACTAGTTGCTAAATTAACTCGTTCGTCATAACAGGGTAGCCTGTAACCACTTTAGGAATGTTCAGTCCTTTTAGTACAGTAATAGGCTACTCATAAAACATTAAGCTAAGAAAATAATCAGGTAAGCCAAGCCTGGTATTAAGTAACACAGAATAGGCTATACTCAATTACACAGAATATCTTATTTAAGTGTATTAAGTAAAACAGCTGTATGAAAAATGTAAAATTAAACATAGGCTAATATAACTCTGCAAATTAGATTTAAAAACAAATTTTGATTAGCCTATACAGTTAAGTAGTTTTCATATTGATTCCATAGAATTTAACCCACTAAAGCTTCAGCTACACAATACGGGATGGGATAGGGATGGGATACAGATGGGACATTCCTAGTAGAATTTGCCGTTGTCCTGTCCGAGTCCCGGTACGTGAAGCCACCCTGTGACGGGTCATGGCATAACGTACAAGACAGTTAGGGAATTTCCTTGAGTCCTCGGCTATCTTCGGCTCTCATTGTATGGTTAGCTTATTATTGCCAGTTGGAAAAGCAATAATATTAATGACTAATTACTATTAATGTGCTTACAAGTAAATTGTACCATAATAAGTTTTTTTTTAGCTAAGGAATTAAAAAAGGTAGGCACTTAATTATTTTATAATAATTAAGTAGGTAGGCCTACTATTTTATAAATTTTTAAAATTCATCGTCATTTTCATTACAAGCAACATTAGCCTGCAATTTAAAATAAACCATCGAACACTTTGACAATGTATATGACGTTATTTATTAAGGTAGACTAGTAGGCCTACATTTTCAAAATTTTGTATTGATATAGGCCTATTGATTGTTTTTGGATAATGTATCTAATTTTATTAACTGCGTGCACATCGTTTCTCATTTCTCAGTGTCCTTTTCCGCTATTTGTAGCTACCCCACGGGAAATATTATAATGTCCCGTCCCTATCCCATCCCGCTATGTGTAGCCGTAAGTACCTCAAGCATCCAACAAAGACGCCTTGACTTCAAGCCGGTTTTTAATGATTTGTATGATTTCATTAAAAACTACCTCGAGCCTATTTAATGTGAGAAACTAACTTACCATGTAGTTGTATACCGGTACCATTTTGTTCACAAGTTCATGTGCTACAACTATCTACAACAATATAGGTGTAATTTGCAATTTTATCATAAATATATACCGGTGGCCTAATATATATAGGCCTACCATTATACAAAAAACAAAAAATCTTTAAAAAATTATAACTTTGCGCTAAGTTAAGTCAATATTAAAATAGTTCTAGGTTTTAATACAGCCACATTGTCTGTAATTTTATGTAGAATAGGCCTACTATGTTTAAACATAACTATAGATAAAGTAGGCCTACCGGTAGGCCTAGGCCTATAGTAAAAAAAGTACTAGTAGCCTACTTACTACTCATAGACGTTAAAAGATGTTCTGGCCTTTACCTGGTCCTGTTTTTAACTGATAACCTAAAGGTTTTATCCTATAGGCCTAACTTAACTATAAAATATTCTCATCACGTACATTATTTAACTTTATTTACCTTTGGATAGAAATTTTTTAAATCATTATGATTAAACCCAGCTCAGCCTCTATAACTGAAATGGATTTTATGGTATGAATAACCTAGGACAAAAACCTTAGGTAGACTATAGCCTAAGCGCCTAGTAGAGTAAATATGTACCTTAGGTAAACTTAAAGTAACTTATAGGTAGGCCTAACTTATAAGTTGGCTTAGGAAGATTTTAAAGTTAAATCTTTAGATAGGCTTGACCTTGGAAGATTTAAAGCTATCAGCATAGATTGGTCAAAAGTAAACAAAGAATGTGATAACACCACAGCAGCTCATTCAACAGATTAATGTCCTAGCCTTTTTAGTCATTTGAGATTTTAGGGGTTACGATTCAATCCTCTAAGCTTATAAAATTGAAGCTAATTTGTACCGATACCTACTATAAAAAAAAACTATAATTTTCCATTTGAAAAAAAGTAACATCAAATAATATAAATTTGTCGTAAGAAATTTTAGTAAAACTATTGTAAGAAGGCTAAACCTAGGCCTAACTTAAATAACATTAACTTTACAAAACCTCAACAATGATTTGATTTTAATAGATAACACAACTCTCAAGGACAACAGTAACACAAATCTCAATCACAAAATATGACAGAATGGCTAATAAAATCACATCCATCTAAATAAAAGATTGCCAGCCTACCTCTTTTACTTCAGATAAGTCTCCATTGTGGTTAGGATGCTAACTAACCCCAAATACATACAAAGATATCAACTTACAACAGGGACTTGTGTTGAAATTTTGGATATTGTAAGGCTCCTTACAAGTAAAACTGTTAAAATATCTAAGAAAAACCACTCAGGCACTTAAAATAAACTAGAAATAACATTTATTTTGGAGGCAGCCATAACCTCATTAAACGTAGAGGACTGTGAAGCGTAATGGCGCTTGCATCACTCATATTTGGAAACCTAGACAATATTTTGACCGATAAGTGTTTAACTACTTACCTACCTAAAAACTAAACTTGATACAGTTTCATTCTTCCATTTTCTCACTACATTTTCAAAATAAATAAATAAACATAACCCAAATTATCAAGAAACGTAGTTGATGTTTTTCACCAAACACAATACGAATAAAAGCTTGAGAGTTGTTCAATAATCGATTGTTGATGTTTGAAGTACTTTGACATATTTGGTTTTTTTGTCATGGCCAGTTAAAAATTCACAAAAGAAGGGGTAAAGTATTACTAACTAAAGTGTATGTTATGGTTGTGAAAATTCACACATGTTTTCCGTAAGTCAATCGTATAATACGTTTTTCATTTTGTAAAATGCATGCACACCGTCATGTTTTTTGGTCACAATAAAATTGTAGCATAAAGGCTGTTTACATAAAAAATATTCAATAAAAACAATTTAACTTATACTTCAGTGACTTTTAAATTAAGGATATTTTGGAAGGAAATTGTGCACTGGTTGATATTTCTAATTCGTTACGGTATTAAATTTGACATTACAACAAAAATTAAACTGTTGCATCATCAAAATTATGCTACCCGGACTGAGAGAGGGTAAAATATTTTTGAACCATTGAAACTTGTTTTAACAGATACACTTTGACTTTTGTAAAAACGATTAATTGTGTTATTAGATTAAAATTTTAACTGGGTTTAGAATAGAAACTGTATCATTTTATGTAATCATTAATTACTATTGATAAGAAAAAAAAGCTGTACTCTGATTCGCGCCAAAAATCAATCACCGCAACGCCTGTATGATAACGTTTATCTGACATCATCATGCACACTACATCTTATCTCGGTTAACCTCAGAACAAGCAAGTCCCGCCAATTGAGATCGAAATGATACAAATAGCTCGACCATTCGTAATCCTATCTATTCATTTAAGATACTTATAACAGAGGGTATGGTACGATACAAAAAGCGAATAAAATTAATAATAATAATGAATAATTATGTATATCGTGCGATTAAGTAATGAACGTCGTTTGAAAGACAAAACGTAAGTTCTTCCACGTTCAGCTTAACGTTTATCCCCAAATATATTGATTTAACTCAAACTGCGTCCTACACCATAGTTTTCAATTTTCATGGTCCACAGGAGGCAAAACACTATCTGTTCAAATTATTGTACATTTGTTTATGTGCGTGGACTTGTTAAATACAGTGTGTTAAGTTTCAAGACTGATTATTTCCCATGTAACTGAGCGTTTACATAACGTTCACGTGGCCATGGCTGAGTGGAGGGGTGTCTCAAGTAAGCGACCAAACCCTTCCCGGTTGTCTACGAGTTGTCAGAGTGGATTACCGATTACGTTGAAACATGGGAGTGAAAATCCAGCGTTTGTAGTATGGTTGTGACTGATATTCCATACAATTCTGATTCAAGAACGGCGTGGAAACGCTTCAGTTGCTTTAGCTGGCCTACTAAGAAGAAACCATGTCTTGGGCATCTAGCGGTTTGAAGATGGCCTCGAAGACGACGATTGTGGGGATTTGAACATGACCGACAATTGAATATTAGGCTCGTCCCAGATTTTGACTTGGAACAACGTTGCAGGGCTCTTCCGCGACCACCTTGCAGCCTCAAATAGTCACCCTCAGTTCTCCCCCCCCCCCCCATATAAAGAGGGACATGAAAGAGAAGCGTCCGCAGCGGTTCATTTAATACCATTCCAATAGATGAGTTCCAGTCGGAAGGAAACTATTTTGAAGATTTTCAGTTCAGTCCACTATTATATAAATATTCAATGCATTTGTTTTCCTGAGACCAGTTTTGAAACTTAATTATCACACCCTGTATTAACATTTCTCACTTCAGATCAAATTTGAATGAACCCTCTTAGCAGTCTGAAAGAGGAGTTTGTAAGCCCTAAAAAGTTTGCACTTTTTCCTAAATAAATAGTATCTTTTTATCAATTTATTTTAAAACAAATAATTTGTAGTATATTATTGTTGAAGTCTGGTATTAAATAAATTAATGGGCTAGTTGTTTTTATATTGTTTTTTTTTTATAAGTTATTAAAAGTAAAAAACACCATACCAAGTCTCCTACACTCCTTTTATTGAGATTAAATTACTTATTGCCAAATTTTGTTTTTAGATTTATCTCACAGCTAAATTTGGCATTTAAATATGCAATTTTGATAACTAATAAAAATAAATCTATAAGTTTTGCATTCTTAAGGAGCAAATTCAAATATCTGAATAATATAAAATGCTATACATGGGTTTAATCACAAATGTCCCGTAATTATAAACCTGTTTGATTAGAAACTCGATAAGGCAACTAGAAATCCTATTGGTGCACAGGTTTGTGTTAACAGGGGTATTTTTATTTTTACGAGGTATATAATCATGATGGGAAGTATTAAATCATCATTATTCAGGATTATGATCGATAGAATATCAACACTTTCATAATACTAAATGGCCAACTTGTAACTCTCAGTTATAAGGATACATTTAAGATAAAGATATAAGCATACCACGGCTCCCTAAACCCACTCCCGGCTTAACAGTTAACAGACGCGCGCCATTGAGAGTTATTAGGAACCTCGATGTACTTTGATAAACAGCATTTTCAATAACACGGTGCAGCCATGTCACACAAACACAAACATATCTTTCCCACAACGTATGACAGGAAAAGTTTAATAGGCTAACCTTACAGACCTTGTATCTTTAATTCGAAAAGAGGTTATAGTAAAAGCCAAATTTACACTTCTTAATCAAACTTTAATCTAATTACACATTGGTACAAATGGTTTTAATATTTATATTTACAACTAACCATATTGATTTATGTAAAAAATCTTACTTCAAGGAACAAAATTTTTTCACTTATTGATATACTGTAGCTACATAAAAATTGTACTCTGTAAAACCGCTGATCGGATAAAACATCATTAAGACAGGAAAAATATCATTAAGACAGTGGTGTATTGAATCTCTGTCATTCCTTTAACCAATACATTAGAATAATCCTATTTATTACAGGCTTCAAAAGAGTTTGGTACTGTAACAGAACACAGGTTGCTACGAACACCAATCTTCGGTTTTAACATGTTTAGCCTATGGATCACGTCTACTGGTGCAATTACCTGCTGTCATGTGATCCTTATGACCTTGAAAGGCAGCCGGTTTCAATCCTCGCAGGATCAGCTTAACTTCCTCCCTCTGTTCTTCTGAGTAGCCACATTTGTCCCATAGTTCAGCAAGCATTATATTACTGTTGGCAATAAACTCCTTCAGGTTGTGTTTCCTTTCACCCTTCAGTAATTGCTGTGATCCTTAATCATCTCCTTAGAGAATTTCAGTTCGCTCTCTAAGAAGTTTAGATTTAGCCATCATATCATCCTTCTTCTTCCTATATCTTGCTAAAGAGTTCTGTTATAAAACTTTAGATTCTCTCTAAGACACAGACGTTGAGTCTAGACTCCACTTATGTGTCGCCCGCCACTTAACCAATCGGTAATAGTTACAGTACTGTCCATTTTTACGTGTTTTGTAAAATATGACTCAATGTTTATAAAAAATCTACGTGTTTGCAAGAACGAAATGAAGATGATGTTTGTCTGAAGATGATCACTTGAGGATTGAAACCGGTTGCCTTTCAAGATCATAAGGGTCACTTGACAGCAGGTAACTGCACCAGTAAACATTGATCAGTGTTTCACAGGCGTAACTCAAACAGAATTAAGCTATATTATTAACGATGGATGATTACTGCAAATTTTCGAATCCAAAACTTGTTGACGAGATAAAAGAGACAATTGTTTAAGTCGTACATATGCCTAATTCTTTAAATGATTTTGTACAGAAGTGGGAGACTATTTTTGAAACCAGCTTCAAGCCAGAAATTAAATAAAAACTTGCAAAATGACTGAAGGTTTTCTGTAAACAACAATCTTTCAAGCTAAGTGATAGAATAAATGAATATCTCTTGATGTCATTGTCATTGAAACTGTTTACCTGGAGAGAGCCCTGGGGCTGGAGCTGCTTGTGTGCCTCTGGTGCAGATGGAGGAACAACTTCAGTCTTTGCTTGACTCCTACCAGGAGTATAAGGAAAACCCAAGGAGTATTTTCAACTTCAAACCAAGGAAAAAGAACTCTGCTGTTTTCAACTTGAAGAGACCTCAGTCCAAGCTAGAACCATCGCAGAATGGAAACCCTCAAATGGGCCAGCATGTTCAAAAGGTAGGAGTCAAGCAGAGACTGAAGTTGTTCCTCCAACTGCACAAGAGGCATACAAGTTGCATCAGTAGTGCAACTGATATGACAGAGTTCAAAAAGAGAATTCAAGATTTGGAACAACTGGATATGACTTTGAAGAATCAAAAGCTGAACTCTGTGAGATCATGGAAGAGTGCAATTTTGCTCCATTCAATCAACAGCTATTTGTATTTGGCCAAGCTCATCTTTTGACGACTAAAAAATTAAAGTTACTACATTAAAGGTTTAGTTGTCATAAGAAGATGAGCTTGGCCGAATACAAATAGCTGTCGATTGAATGAAGCAAAACTACACTCTTCCATGACCTCACAGAGTTCAGCTTTTGCTTCTTCAAAGTCATCCTCCATTCAATCAACAGCTATTTGTATTGGGCCAAGCTCATTTTCTTATTACAACTACAAATTTAAAGTTGAAGAACAGAGGGAGGAAGTTAAGCCGTTCCACGCCAAATGAGTATCCGAAGAAGTCCTCAATATTCACAAACTTGGGATTGAAACTAATCTAAATATATGTACATCAAAACTACAAAAAAATTGTTTATAGCACACAAATATCTAAATTTAAAGATAAAAACAAAATGTATAACATAAAAACTAGGAGTATTTAGCCATAGTGCATGTGCACTTAACGCTTATCACTTATTTGTCAACGTCTATACAAAGCAGTAATTTTGCAGGCGCCACAAAAGAGATCAGTTTGCCTTGATTTTTGCTCCACCTTGCAAGCTTTTCAGTACATTGGCAATGTTTTGGAGAATCAGCTGATAATACTTGTGTAGAAGTCCATGATGACTCAACCCGGGCAGTAGCAAAACAGCTGTAACTGTAAAGAGAAAAGCATGAGCACTAGTGATCAACACAAGACACTTAACACTACTTAATCAATGTTACGACGAGAAGCAACTCACCTATTAGATACGTGAGGAGGAGGTTGTTGACTTTGTTGCCAATGTATGCGAGGAGAGTCAGAGAGAAGATGGTAACAGAGTAGTACTGTAACATAAAGAAAAGAATATATTACCGTCCAGCTTAAACAGATTGTTGGCCAAATGCTCTTCACCAACATTAGGTGGATTAAAGTAAAACTCTTAAATATTTTTGCTCACAACATAAGCTGCCGTTCCATAATAACTGGCCGCAGTTTGGAGCATAAATGCTGATAAGAGCAAACGAAACAAATATTTAAATTATTTTCTATCCAACAAAAAAGCCACAGTGTAAATTAACATACTGCTTTCCAGTGTTTGTGGACATAGTTCAACAAGAAATAAACAGATAATAGCACGGGATAGTTGCTAACAGGGGAAGTGAAAACCATTACAAATCCAATTGCCAAGGAATACTTTGGACAAAAAGTGTAAATACAGGGTGGGGCAGAGTGGACTCCCTGATTTGATGGGTTAACTGTATAAAAACCATACAAGATTATTACAAAAGCTTTTTATTTCTGAAATTTAAATACAATGCCATTTATTTTTCATTAAGTTTTAAAAATGATATCGTCCAGGTGAAGACCTTGACGAGCGATGCACATATTCTGTTCAATGAAGTTTTCAAAAACTCTACGCAGCATATCTGGCATTATTCCAGTGATAACATTAACAATTGCTTCCTTAAGGGCTTCCAAGGTCCTTGGTCGAACTTTGTAAACCTCAGTTGCAGATTCGGTCGCCCGTACACTTGTAATCCATTTCCTTAAGGTTTTAGCATCGGGAACACTATCATGACAATTCAAACCAAACCGTCTACGAAATGCACGCTGGGTCGCCACCACACTATCCTTATTTTTAAAGAACGTTTTGACTACAAAACCACGATGCTCGCCAGTTTTTCGGCATGGTGTCTACTAACAATGGCGTCTTTCCCCCCACCACATGAAACCTCTCCCACTCCACTAAGTCGCTCGCACGCTCTTCAGCGACTGATTAAAACTAGGGAGCCCACTCTGCCCCACCCTGTAATTTAACAGTTGTTACAATGCAATGTAACTGACCAACTTGGGACTGGTGAGCTTGAGGTCCTTGAAGGCGACCAACTGATGAGTGGCAGTCGCGTACGTCTGGACCAGGGTGCGGCAGATGTTCTCAAACTGTTTCTCCTGAGCGCCAGTCCACAACGCAGGGTTGTACATTGTAGCGCTCAGCGTAGGCACCAGGTAGTCCAGCAGTGTTATCAACAATCCTGCACAGCTGACAGCACTCAGTAGTGACGGCTCTGCCAACCATAGTAGCCTGTAAATGATAGGACAATTATTGAACTAGCATTCTGTAATGTAGAACCTCCACTCTCAAATAAATAGTTTAAAGATACCTTGAATTTGTTGCTAAACAAGATCCTCTGAGAATATCAAATCTTAATAGGTTTTACTTATAAGTATAAGTATACCACAAAAGCCAACCATTTTAAGATTGTATTTATTTATTTTTTAGTTGTGTAACTCACTATCAGCATATTTAAAGTTTTTTCAAGGGAAATAGTCCAAACCGTGGTCTTGTTACCATCTACTATTTTGTAGACATTTTTGTTAAGATTGTATAATTAATTGATATCAACAGGTGGCTTGGTCAGTAGCCCAGGGTGGCCACAGAACGCCTGGAATAAATTCACACAATTTCCTGGATAGCAAAACCTGGTTTTCCTGGTAAAATAGTAATTTAGTAAATCTTTTACTAGGGGGTCTGCGAAACCCTGATTTTTTCAGGCCGGGTTGGGCCTACAGTTGACCCGAGGGATCGGTATGTCCAGAATGATTATCGGGACAAGCTCAGTTCAAATCAAGCCGACCGCAGATAGTGTTTGAGAAGATTCATGAACAATAACGATGTCGCCATGACCACGGAAGATATTCTCGATTTAGCCATAACCGTGAAAGGTCAAGGTGTTCTTGATTTCTCAATTCTGAATGATCATAGATGAAGTTCACGATTTGGCTGTGACCCCACAGGATGTCTTGGATTTTCCCTCGACTACAGAAAATGTTCACAATTTCACGGTGACCACAGAAAATGCTTTTGAGTTTGCCGTGACCACAGAAGACATTAAGATTAATCCACCCCACCACGACAATGTTCGTGAATTTGCCATGACAGCTGAAAATTTTCTGATCTTGCCTTGACTGTGGAAGATGTTGATGATTTCACAGTGACCGCAGAAGATCTCTTGGTTCTCGGCTTCACCCTGACTGCAAAAGACATAAAAATTCACCTTCACCTGGGATTGATCCAGAATTCAGATTCAGATTTGAAGGCGAGCAGTGCTACCACAGGGCCACCTATACAATCACATATTGAGTACAAGTCTCCATCAAGACTCAGCAGAACGCTGCATCCTAAATGGAATTTCCAAAGGTAAATCCTACATACGATTTCTCAGAGTAAACATTCTTTTAATAAGATTTTAAGATTATAAGATAAGAGAAAGGTTCTGATGATAAAACTCACATAAAAAGTATGGTAGATGCTCCAGCTAACACTCCAGGATACCAGTTTTTCTCCCAGAGTAACACAGAGTTCATTTGTAGGACGATCTCTCGCCAACCCTCTAGTTCTCTCTTCAACCTCTTCACATGATCCTGCAAAGATGCAAACCATTAAAAAATGCTCCAAATTCTGATTAGTAATAAACTGTCAGTAGCTGAAATGTAAGATAGAAGGATATAGAACAAAGATTCATTAGCCTTATAATTTTGACATAGATAGTGTAAAATTTAAGTGTAGGTCTAGTCTCACTGTTAAGATCAGGTTACCGATAAGTTAATGAGCTACAATTAAGTAGTTTGTATTTTACTATACTACTTTATCTTAGTGTAGTCTAATCATGAGACGAAAAAGACAAAAATGCTCTAACAAAGAACTACATAAAATAAAATTTCAAAACTTGTTTCCGACATCTAGTAACTGATCAAGTGGCCTATGCGCGACAGTTTATTTTTAAATGATAGACATGTAAATCACCAAAAAGCCTGAGATGAACCTAACCGACTAAACACTCTCAACATTTTATAATCTCATTTATGATCAACACAGTAGCATTTAATAATGTTTAAAAGTGTTCCACCCCAGACAGAAGTCTTAAGGCCTATTAAATTTGTACCTACCTGACAAAAAAAAAGTGTAGGCCTAAATGTGAAATATTTTTTTTTATTTTTTTCGATTAACCAAACTATTTAGCCTATAAAATATTCAAATACAATACTAAGACCCTACAGGTAATGGGAATTAGGCTACGTGAAGGCTATTTGATTTGTGTAATAAAGTAATGATTTTTTTTTATTATCAAAAATAATTAGCTTGTAAAATATATATATATATATATATATAGGCCTAAATATACAAAAATTAGACTACAGGTAATGGGAATTGTCTGCCAATGGGTATGGCAATGGGAATTGGCGCAGGTAGATGGCCAACGGAATGTAATGGAGCAGATGGTGGCAAGGACGAGTCTAGGTGTTGTCTGCTACATTGATTTACAGTGAAGATTTGTGAAGTTTTTAAAGTTTAATTTTGGTGTGACTGGGACGGGTGGCATCGTCCTGTAATCCAGCTACTAGGTCACAAATTGTGGATATTTATAGGCATGCACTGTGGATGCGATACTCCCTGGTGTGGATTAACGTCCGCACGGGTGAGTACTACGACTATCCGCAGTACTATCCTGATAATTAGACCAATTCGTATATACCAATGAAAAAAAGTGGTTCGGATTCCACTATAAACTATAGGTCCCTTAGTCGCCATTAGCTGTAGGCTATGGGCTATTAATTAACAGCTGTGTCTAAGGAATATGTCGGCCTTAGTCACTAACAAGACTACAACATCGCGCCACTCATCATACACTCATCTCCATTCATACTTGGCTTAAAATACCTACTTTGTATGGTCGCCATTTCAAAGAAAAGTATAACGTGGTTTAGAACGTTTAAAAGTGTTTAAAATCTATGTAAAAGAGGTTTATCTAAAATACCAAAACTGGGCCCCATTTTCATAAATATTTATAAAAAGTGGAAAACTAAAACTCACGTTTTTTTTATTGCTGGAATTCACACGTTTCAGTTCTGAAAGTTTATAACCCTAACACTTTACTTTGTGCACCACATTATAAAAAAAACTAATTTAAAGCTAGGCCTTATAAGTTTCACTTCAATCCAATCGTTATATTTCTACAAAGTTTAACCACACTCACTGAAATAAATTTTAACTTTTGGTTAGGCCTAACTGAGAGACGGGAAATAGTAGTACCAGTTTGACTATGGATGTGTCTACTTCATGTTCCAACAAATTATCATGTAGAGCTCCCCACCACCCACCCCACCCAACAGATACTCAACAACAGATACAACAACAACAGACACTGGCGTATTGTTGGTGTGTGTTTGGTAGGTTGTGCTCTATCAGTGAACTTTGTACCTACACTGGCCGCTTGTCAAACCACCCATCATTCTGTTTACAAACAAACTGATTAAGCAGCATTGTTGCTGCCATATACTCTTGTTATCTCTATACTACTGTCACGTTTAAGCAGCAGCTGTTTACTTCATTGTTTGTTGTTTGAAACTGGAATTACAATACTGAAGCTATTATTTACAACAAATATTGCCATTAAAAAATTAGTACTGGTGGTAAATTGAGTAGCCACTTATTTTTAAAGCTACTAACAACACTGGAAATGTAATATAGTTTTAAATGAAAGCCTGCTTTAATAAAAAGCCTTTGGGAAATAAAGTCTTTTTAAATATTTTATTGTTTGTACTCTAAATTTGTAAAAAAGATAATTTTGTTTTGGATTTGTTATTTGTTCATGTACATTGGAACTGAATATAAACTCTAATGAAAATAAAACAATTTCATCCCTGGATGGAAGAGGGCTGAGGTCCTCAGTACTGGGAATATTGATGGTTACATCACATCACTGAGGGGTAAGGTTTTTCGTTTGAAAAAAAAAAAGTTATCCAAGTATCTAGAAGACCATAAACTTAATTTAGAAATCGAAGATTTTATTTTAACTTTAGTTCCATCAAAAAAATCCAACAATGATTCCATTGTGGATGAAAGTGGCGTTGCTAGTACTCAGGCCTCCATACAAGACACATATTCCGATACAAATATATTGTTGAATTTGGATAGGGACGGGCCCAACGCAGCAAGTACCACTCCCTCTAACCATTTAAGCATTCTTAGTATTAGTGAGTCATGTGATGAAGAAAATAATGTTACAGTCACTGACCTTCATCCTGATCAGAATTTTTAGCTACAAGAACTTGAAAGAGAAAAAATTAGTTTATTCTTCAGCGAGATTGGCTCACAGATGATGCTATTGAACACTACTTCCAGTAGGCCTAATCATCCTCCAAAATAATCACAAATTAAAGTTTTTTTTTATCATAAAACCAATTATTTCTCAAGTCATAAAATGTCTGAAAGATATTCACTTTTTACTTCAAGGTTCCGTTTTTACTGATGAATCTTATGTTTTGATACCAGTGAATGCCTCGCCTGCTGTGGATAAGCCAGGAGGCTCAGGCTCGCCTTGGAGTCTTTTGTTGTATATAAAGGATGTAAATTTGTATATTTTTATTCATTGAACGGGTAGAACTATGCACATGCACCGAAAATCGCAAACTCCTTACAGAAATACTTTGGGATCCTTAAAAACTGTAATATCTCAGTGGTCAAAGCCCCGCAGCAGAGGAATAACTATGACTGTGGCGTATATATGATTCTGTTTGTTAAGGTAATCATTCAGCTCATTCAAGGCCCATCTCTGCTTGACTCGATGGAAAAGTTTATCCCTGTTATTACTGAGTCCAATGTAATTGCTAAACAGGGTCATCTTGCCTTGTTATATAGTGATGTCAACCTATGTGTAACTGCAGATACACTGAGGGAGATGATATTGAACCCAGTTTTAACTTAACTACTTCACCCCTTAAAAAACATAAACAATCGGATGACCCAATAAGTGTGGATCAAGCTAAAGAAACTGGATATACCCTACCAACTCACGATATTTTAACTATGGACCGAATCCAAAAGAATATGTGGAATGGAGTACTGTTGTAAATACAAATCTGACTGTACGGTATCAAATATGGAAAAAATACTCTAAATTCTGATTTGTAAAAAATTTGTCAGTGGCTTGAAAGTTTAGATCATTCAATAAATTAGAATTTTAAGATCATGCCTTAGAATGTGTAGCTACATAACCTAGGTGGTGAAAAATGTGGGTGTAGGTTTAGTCTTCCTTTTAGCGAATTTCCCATATAGGGAATAAGCTATGACCGTAGGTCTCATGGTAAGACCTAGACCCGGGATGGATTTACTTTTTCGTTTTGAGGTCCCCAGAGACCAAAAACACCATCCGTTCAAATTCATATATATATGTGTCCGTTAGCGCGATAACTCGAGCAAAAATGATCCGATTTTGATGAAATTTGGTACAAACGTGTAAACCTACATTTATTCGAACGAGTTCGCGAACCAGCATAATCGGACCATGGGAACAGGGGTTTATGGGGGGTTTTATGGGGTAAAAATGGGTTTTCCCATTTTTTACCCTAAAAACAAAAAATTTTGCAACTTCTTTCTCAACCATTTTGTAGAGCTTAAAAAAAGAAATAATTTAGTATATTGAAGCGCTGTTGTATGCCTAACAGTCACGGAGAAAATTTTAAAAAAGTGTAATTTAAAATTCCCATGTTATTCTTATGGAGAAAATGAAAACTGTTGTAGTTTACTTGTTTAGGGATATATTGATAAAATTTGGCAAATTTATTTATTTCATCCTATACTATTGACATATGGTCAAAAACACTTTTTACCTTCCCCGTAGCAGCAAACCTAAGCACTTGTTAAATCTAATGTTATTTAAACTAGCTGATACCCACGGGCTCCACCCCGTTTTACTATATTAGTATTAATAAAAATATTGATTGGTTAAGTTAAGATGAAATAAACAAAACAGAATACAGTAATGGTAATACAAACAAATAATAACAGCTGAGGTATTTTTAACATTAGGTAAATGGAAAGTTCCCTTTGGAAAGCAATTACGACCTTATAGGGCAATTTATGAAATAATTGATAATTTGGCGCAAGGTTTCTCGTCATGACGAACATTTTAAGTATATGGTTTATGGGGGTGTGACTTGTAGTTTTCTCAAAAGTTCATGGGTACTTTTGGCTTTATATATAGACTAGCTGTACCCGCGGGCTTTGCCCCGTTTAACTTCTTAATTTTCAAGATGAGCTCGTTCGCATGGCTCAATCACGTCCTGGTTGAAGTTCGTTCGCTACGCTCACTCACCTTTAGGTTGGAGCTCGTTCGCTGCGCTCACTTGCCTTCAGGTTAGCTCGTTCGCTACGCTAACTCACCTCTAGGTTGAAGTTCGTTCGCTACCCTCACTCACCTTTTGGTTGCAAATTAGCTGTGTCATAAATTTAAAAAAATAATAGTGCTGCACCCTGTTGGTAATCCTTGTAACTTTAATGCTATTGAACATCATAGAACAGAAACAACTTGTTTAATTGAAACAGCTGTTAAGATTCTTTAATTCCATTTAAATATGAGTAC